CTCAATCTGGCAATAGGCCGAGGTACTGCCAAGCGTATTCGAATGCCACGGAGACGTGAAAGAGGTTAAATCAAGCTTAGCCGAAGTGGCATGTCGATGGTTTTATGGGCACTGGTTTGATTGACTGCCAAACGGTTCTCGAGGGAAGCAAGCCCTGCTGTCCCCGCTGCTATTCATAAAATCCTTTCTCTTACGTCCCATCTCCTACTCCCCGTGGGTTGTCTCCCATCATCTTCCGACCGGTTCTCCTTCATCAGGCATCTCTACATGATACTGCCACCATCTCTTTCCTCACCGTTTGTGAGTCTCCATCCTGTCTCTCGTCGCTCCGCTGCCCCTCCGAATCCATCTCCTGTCCGGTGGCTCCATCGTGCCGCCTCTCAGCGGTGACTGGTTCCTATCAAGCCTTTAAAGGTACTGGTTGATGAAGGTGCGGGCGGCGCCAACGCGGGCGTAGACACCAGGAGCGTTGGGAGCAGCGCAGCCCTCACCCCAAGAGACGACACCGACGAGAGTCCTGGAGCTGGCCTCGATGATGGGACCGCCGGAGTCACCCTGGCAGGAGTCCTTGCCACCGGCAGCGAAGCCGGCGCAGATCATGTTGGTGGTGACGGCAGAGGTGCCGTAGTAGGAGCGGCAGGTGGTGCGGGAGATGATGGGGACGTCAACCTTCCTCAGGGCGGTGGGGAGGGTGCTGCCGCCGGACGAGGTAGTTCCCCTTGCATTGCGTGTTAGCCATCCTGAAGAACCATTCGGGAACAGCTAAGGGGGTCACAAGACTTACCAGCCAGCGGTGGTGGTGAGAGTGTTGGCAGCGGGGTCCGAGTTGGCAGCGGCCAGGGTGGCGTAGCTGATGGTGGAGCTCGTGGGGATGGGGGTAGCGAGCTTCCAGATGGCGAAGTCGTTGTCGTACCTCGAGGCGACGTAGCCGGGGTTGACGACGATCGAGGAGACGCGGACAAGAGTGCCACCGGAGCTGCGGTTCTGCTCGAATGTCAGTATACTGGGCAAATATGATGACTGGGTCAGGGTTCACATACCAGGCTGCCGGCGCGGACAGTTACGGAGGAAGCGCTGACGCCGGTGCTGCAGTGAGCGGCGGTCAAAACGGTGTTGGCGTTCAGGAGGGATCCGCCGCAGAAGTGCGAGCCGCTCCTCTGCAGGGAGACGATGAAGGGGAAGTCTCCAGCGCTGGCCGCAACTCCGCCAACGATCTGGAGCTCCTCCTGGGGGGCAGGGACGGGGGAGCCAAAGGCGACGGCGGTGAAGCCGAGAGCGGCGACGAGAGTCTTGAAAACCATGATGAAGAAGCGAGCCGGATGAGGAGCTACCGAGAGATGGTTGGATGCTGGACTGAGAGGACTGAAGTAGGATGAGATGAGATGAAGGGAGCTGATGACATGGACGACGATGACCTCGCCATCTTTATAGTCACGAACTTCACGACAACGCACGATGCCCCTATCCTACAACCTTCCCTTTCAGTGCTTGGAGAAATCAAGGCACAACACGTGCCTCTGCGGCATGTCCTTCCAGATGGGGACTATCATGGCAGTCCTATGGATTCTATCCACAAGTTCTCTGCAGTAATGAGACCTTCCGTATGAGGTTTGAGCTTCCAGAACATGTGAAAGTTCCAAGGCCGCTTGCGGAAGGCTGTGTGACTAGCTCCGACGAGCGTGGGCGGCACACGTCTTGCTTGTCTGTTACAGAGCGAGTTCTGTTTCGAGCCCAAGTTGACATGACTGCTTCAGTCAGTCTTTCACCTGTGAGAAATACAACCTTAAACTGCCCACAAAGAAGTACTGCAATAATTTATTCTCGCACAAGCCACCGGTTTCTCCCTGCTCAGTCATGGCGTTCATGGTGACATTCAACGACGAGACGGCAGATGACACCGGGCCACCCACATACTGATCGATCGCGTCAGCGGGGGCTCCATAAAGGTCCTCACGGCGCTATTTTCCATGTACAGACAAGGCTCTGCTGCCGGCGATCATCTGCGGGGGGGACTAATGTAGATCATCTCTGAGGCGTCGAAGACTAAAGCTTGTTCTTTCAATACCACCTTCTACGAAGGGACAGGCTAGCTACAGCCAAGCATCTGGCAGGGGCGATAGATTAGTATGCATAGCACCATCAGTGCTGTCGCTGGCGTGACACGACTGATCGTTACTGATTGGAACCGACGTTGATGGCGAATCATCAACGGGGGCAAGTACCGAGATATCGGGCTCTCCCGCATACGCTAAAGCTAAATCGGGCAGTTGCGATTAATTACCCCACGTTCATAAGATGGTATCTTCAGCTACGGAGGATTGCCCTGCTAGGAGCAGATCGCTCGGTCGGTTTCTCATCTAGGCAGGCGGATCAGACGGAGCGCCGGAGACAGCAGCTGACAGGCTGCTGAACGCAGCCTTCGCAGCGTCATTTGTCCCAATTAGAAGCACAGTAAACCTGCTCACGCTGGCAACTCTGCAGATTCTCGTCACGCTCTCTCCGTCCTTGAAACATGAGGCAAATGTCCCCAGCGCTTAAGCAATTCCTGCTCATTTCTGGCGCTTTCATCAGCCTCTGGATCCTGTGGTCGGCCTTCTTCAACGCCGCCATGGACACTCTTGACTTCCCTTTTTCGATCGAACTGGGCGGCGCATCCATCGTCCAGGCCGCCGGAAATGCCGAGGAGCCGGTACAGGCCAAGACCGGCTCCAAGGCTGCGATCTTCACCCTGAAGGACGGTCGCCTCTCTTCCGGCGACTTCATCCTAGGACGCTATGCCTCCGAAGACCGAAGCTTTCTTCCCAAGCCTGTCCTGTGGTTCAAGAAGACCGATGGCGACGGCCCCAAAGTTCAGCGAGTGACTGCCAAGGAAAAGGATGGATCGTTTCAATTGATCTTCTCAGGTGTGTGGCGCCTTTGCAAGAGTCGCCTATGATGCGCTTGTTGATGTGTTTGTGACTGATGATCTCTCAGGTGCTGGTCTGATCGTTGAAGACGGTCAGGTATTCGCTGACCTTTCCGGGAGTAAGTAACAAAGCAAATAAATACGAAGTGTAAAGCTGACAGCCCGATTTCGCAGACGATGAATCCAAGTTGGTCGCCAAGAATTGAATCTAGTAGGCGTAATCGCTGAGGCGAGGGAAGAATGCAGAGTTATGATGAAGACTTTGTGCCATTTCCCCGGCAATGCCGCATTTCCAACAATTTACCAATGCAAATTCGACATCTGGTCTGCTCTTGAATCTAATTGACGTGCCAGGCATCTTCATGAGTGAACTTTCACAGCAATGACAGTGACGAAGGCGATCAGGCGGCACTTCGACGACAGGAACGATGATATTGATATCGCTCAGTGCTTTCGGAACTCTGATAATGATTCGATGGAGCCCCTGGAAAGTATCCCGTACTCCGGAACTCTAGTTGTGTAGTTTGCTGGACGAGCCTCTTCAAGGTGACAGGGCCACGCTAAACTGTTCTTTGTCTTCATCCTCGTAGTCAGAGGTTCTTCGTTGTACGTTATGATTTTGCATACGGCAGGATACTAACACATACGACCATACCTACTGGAGAACTCGGGATCCCGTCCGCTCTCCCATAGATAAGCCAGTAAGGGTCGGACTAGTAGTTGGGTGGGTGACCACCAGCGAATCCCTGATGTTGTATGTTGTTTTTCCTTTTGCTATTCTACCCTAGGTGTGACATCTGGCGTGAGAAATGACTCTTGTGGGGAGCGTTGTGGGCCCGTGCAGGTGGAGCAACCGAGGTTTGTGACTAGTCGTAACTGAGGATGGCTTATGGCTCAACCTCGAAAAGTGTATGCAGTGATTGATGTAACTGCCGAAGATACACTCTCAGCGGGGTAGGTCACCGCCAGCGGCGTGCGTCTGCCAGATTACGATATGGTGAGTTTGTACTAGATATTGAACGATTTATATCATCGGCGGTCCGCCTTCGGGGGCCCGGAAAAGCACTTGTAAAGGTCTGGTAGCCAGTAGCATCAACTCAGGCGTGGCCGGCCTTGCCCCCGTGTGGCGCTCGGTGCCGGTGCCGACTTCCGTGCCGATCCTCATCAGGTTCGGCCTCCGAAGGAAAATCGACAGCTGCTGTAAAGATACGTGCTCCGCCAGAGGCAACAACCATTCCATCTAAACACTTTTCCCCTCAGCCGATCTCTATCAGGCCACTTTTCCCCTCAGCCGATCTGTATCAGGTCACTTCGAACCTCGAAACTGATCTTTTAGCGTCAGACAGTAGGATGATTGTAACGTACCTTTGAAAAGGGTCACACCGGCCGGCCGGCCTTTTTGTGCCTTTGGTTACTAGCTTGTTCGCGACTGCGGGAAGCTGCAATTAGTGAATCTGTGCCATTGGTGGTGGAGCTAATGATTGTCTCTAGAGTGGCTCGGCTACCGAGATCATGGTCGGTAAACTTAAAAATCTCATTGTGACAAGGGGCTGACTCGTATCTACGATTCAGTTAATCGGTCTCTAAACGAACAGATCAAGACCAACACTCAACTTCTACAATCGAGCTTGGCTTGTAGAGCCGCAATCTGTCTCCCTGTCTCTGGATGTTGAGCTACCCCTGAGTAGGTGCCCCGGAAATCACGGGTAAGAAAGCACAGGGAGGAGTTGGACGTTCCGCCAATTTAGATCCCTGCCTGCCGATTACAAGCCCCGCCGAAGCAGCCGGATCGACTCTCAATCTGTCACATTGGCAACCTCGAGCGGTGCGAAAGCGAACATATTAAGGTGTCGGCTCGCATATCACTAGTGGTGGTCCCTTGCCTTCGTTTCCCTGTCCGTAGACCTGCGTCACAAGCTCAATCACGGGGTGTCCCGGAGTTCAGGAGCGATTCATGAATGATGAGCCCCATTGAATGAAGTAAGTCTGCTTTAAAGAGTCCGGAAGCTGCGGCTGACTGACTGCCTCTTTCAACACTGAGAAAATCATCACTTCTCTACGTTCACCCAGTTGTGTTATCTTGGTCATCTTCACAATGAGACTCCGTGACAATCGCCTCTCCACTGGGCCCCTAGCTTTGATTGTGGTATGGGTTCTCCGGTCCTCAGCGACACCCACAGCCCCTGGCCCAAGACTGAGGGCAAGTCGGACAACGGAACCATGTGCCGCAGTGAGCGCTTCTTGGGCTGAGCAGATTGCTGCCGACCCTGCATGTGAGTGGCAGACCCCTTCTACCCTACTCAAAACGCATCCGTTAATCATGACCCCCAAGCCTTGCCCGTGGTCCCAGCCAAGATAGCTCATAGCTGTCTCCTGTCTGTTCCTTTTGGTCAACAGGCTGCGCTAGATTACCTTGACTCTATCGTACCTTATCTTGACTGGCAGACCGATCCGACTTACAAGGCAAACCCACCACCAGACTACTTTTTTCCTCCTCATGATTACTATGCGGCAATGGAAAAAGTGCGGCAAAAGGTTGCCACAGGACAGTATGCCAGCGAGTATGCTTTCCAGGACGACTTCTACAAGAGCGTGTTTGGCCCTGCTCATGACTCTCACATGGTTGTATACCCAGATGCCCTAAGCCGGGCTTTTCAGTGGCAACGACAGCGCTCTCTGGTATCCATCAGCGAGGATGGTATGTCGTTACCGGTGATCAAGGTGTACGGTAAGTGACGTTGCATAGACTCTTGCTCGGACTTGAGCGGTCACCAAAAACACAGTATAATTGACTTGACCGCAGAGGATGTAATCGCATCACCGTCGACTGCTCCTATAGTCACAAAGATAAACGACCAGGACCCGATCAAGTACCTCGAGGACACCATCTACCAAGTGACGTGGGCCCGTGACCCAGACTCTGCTTACAATAGCATGTTTTATTCGGCTGCTTACTCTGCAGCCGGTCTCAGCTCAGGATACTTTGCAGGCGGTGGTCGGCTTCGATACGTTTACCAAGGCCCGCAGACTTCGCTCACATTTGACAACGGAACGAAAGTGACCTTTGAAAATCAGGCGTTGGTCAAGGGCAACATGACGGGAGTAGTCGATGGTCCCAGTTTTTACGAAAAGTTCTGCACCCCACGGGCAACCGACGACTCGTCCGCCGAAACCCAGCTTGTGAGTGACGATTCACAAGCCCCTAGTGCCGACCAGCCAGTAAGCAGCGATTACCCTAAGCCTGTACGGGCCTCCGCCGATGGGGTGATCTCTGGGTATTATCTTGAAGGCCAGGGTCTTGATGATGTTGCCGTGCTATCAGTGCTCAACTTTGATCCCGCCAAATCAACAGAGTTCCAATCTGTGATGGACGACTTTTTCAAGAGCGCAAAGGCAGCCGGGAAAACGAAGCTCATCCTTGATTTGCAGGCCAACGCCGGCGGCTTCGCCATCCTGGGCTACGAGGTATTTGGCCAGCTCTTCCCGCAGCAGAAGCCACAGGACAACGGCCGCTGGCGAAAGAATCCAGGCTTCGACGCCATTGCACGCTCCTACTCTGAGGCCGTCGCAGGAGTGGACCTGGCGACCACCCCCAGCGACGACATTGTCGTGGCTGCGGAGACGTGGTTCAACTGGAGGCATGACCTCAACACATCCAACTTGAACTTCCAATCTTTTGAGGATAAGTTTGCGCCTCAGATCTTCGCCGACACGCCTTACACGTCTCTGATGCGGTGGAATCTTTCAGACCCTCTGGAGGCCAGCAACGCAACGTTTGGCCTCGGCATCGAGTTCAGTGGCTACGGTACCCGGGCCGACATGGAGCCGCCCTTTGCGGCGGAGAACATCGTCATGCTCCACGACGGCACCTGCATGTCCACGTGCTCCACGTTAGCCGAGGTCCTGCGTGTCCAGGGCGGCGTCAAGTCTATCGCCATCGGCGGCCGGCCCGTCAAGGGTGACATGCAGGCTATCGGCGGCGTCTCAGCCCCGCAGGCTATCGTCTTCTTTGACATTTATACCTATGCACAGCTCGCACTCAAGTTCAAAGTGTCCGACTCGGACCGGGCTGCTCTGGAAAGGTACACACCACTCGCCTTTAACCGCAGCACGGACGGCGTCGTCAATGGCAAGGACGCCATTCTCCCCGAGCACATTGACGACGGTCTGCCGAGCCAGTATGTCTACCGGGCTGCTGACTGCCGGTTGTTCTACACGCAAGAGATGATTAACGATGTTTCTGCCGTTTGGAGGGCAGCCGCTACGGCGGCTTTCAATGGTGGCAAATGCGTGGCAGGCGGCCTGTAGGGCTTGGCCGGCGATATGTACTGGCAAGTCCTGAAGCTCGTGGCAATGTGTATTGCTGAGCTTGGCCGATGTTGAGTAAGTTGCAGTTATTCAAAGCAGAACTGACGCTGTAAGAGCCTGCATCGTGATCATGGACTTGAATGAGAAAGGCTTATGGCCTTGCAATTGCACGGCTCTTTCATGAATTTTACCATTGAAGTCACTGATTGATCTACTTTTTGACTCTGATGCTCTACCTTGTCGAAACTTTGATTGGATGCGTGACATCTCTCGATTAAAGCCACCACCAAAATGGCTTGGTGGTTTACTCCTTGCCATGAATAGGGGCAGGTCCTCATCCCTTAGGAACGTGGAAGACCAGTCAACACAGACGGGATTCCAATAAAACTAAAGAAACCCCAGAGGAAAGAAAAAGTCATAGAGAAGAACGAGCCAATGCTAGCGTTGCCAACCGATGTCCTCATAACAATGTATTCCCAGAGTCCACGTAAACAATGGAACCGCCAGTTCCTTTACCAAGAGAGGAAGTGGATCCTAAGGCGAGCCCCGAAGAAGAGATACTCTTCCCAGGAGACGAAACTTGTTCATCATGTACCGATTGCACACCATTTCCATGGCGCCGAGTCACCACCCCCAACACCGCGCCTCCCACACCCGCCTATTTCGCCGGCGCCTTCCCCCTGACAAACTTCGTATGCCTCCCCGTAATCACGACAGCCCCCCTCCGTCCCTCCTCGACCTTCCACACGCCAACAGTCGTAAACGCCAGGCTGCCGCCGACCTTGTCCACAGAGCCCTCAATCTCGACCTCCTCGCCGAGCCGCACGCTGCTGACGTAGCTGACGTGGATGTCGACGCTGACGCCCGTGCCGCCGCGCAGGTCCCACGCCGCGACGGCGAGGCCGCCGGCCCAGTCGACGATGGTGGCCGAGACGGAGCCGTGCAGGCCGCCGGCGGCGTTGAGGTGGCAGGCGGCGATGGGGAGGCGGAAGACGACGCGGCCGCGCGAGGCGTGGGTCAGGCGGAGGCCGTGCTCGGCCGGGGACAGGAGGAAGGCGTAGAGCGGGGAGGCGAGGCAGCGGGTTGCGTGGTAGTCGGTGATGTGAGCTTCCGTTGTGGGGTCCGAGGCCGGGAGGGGTTGTTGCGTGGACATGGTGCTGGGCGGTGTGACGGTTTTTTTATTTGGGACTTGGACCGAGTATTGGCAAATGAGTGTATGCTAGGTGTTGCGTTTCTGCCTCGTTGAGGGCAAAGTGGTGCGTGAGTTGGGAGACGGTGAGGTATGAGCATGTCGAGTCACTGAGAAGTGAAAAGAAGGTTGAAATGGGTATCATCACGTGCGACAGAGCCCCGCCGAACATCGGACGGATCCCGCCTCCGTCACGGACTCGCCCGCAGGCCTGCCCCTATTCCAACACCGAACACAGCAAGAAGCAAGCAAAGCCTAATCAAAGCAATCAAAGTTGCTACAGAAAGGGGGTATCGTACTCCAACGAGCCTCAGAGCACTTATGTCAAGCCCAAACGCCAAGCGACCGCAGACGGGCATGTCGGATTCAACTCCCACACCACCCGGAGCACTTCCGCCCTTCGGCCTGCGAAAACAGATTGCTCGCCTTCCGTCCGCCGATGACGCTCGCAGGCGTCTCCTATGCCTGCTTTCTCCTCTTCCTCTGGCCCCGCTTCCTAGCCGCGACGATCTGTCTCCTCGCCAAGATCTTGGTGATCCACTGCCGGATCCAGCCCTGCATCATGACCGTCACGGTGATGCAGACGACGGGCGCCGCAATCTTCCAAAAGTAAGGAATGCCATAGGCGAGCTGCGGGAACGGCTCAAAGTTCTGGCCGAAATAGCCCGTGATGAAGGTCAACGGCAGGAAGATGATGGTAATGACAGTCAGCTGCTTCATGCTCTCGTTCTGGTTCGCCGAGATGGTGTTGAAGATGAGGTCAATGAGGTTGTCGGCGCTGCGCTTGATCTGTTCCATGGCTTCCGTGATGATGACGCAGTGATCGAGGACGTCGCCGAGGTACGTGTGCGTGAGAGGCGTGACGATGACGCCCGAGGCCGGGTTATGGAGCTCGCGCGCTGCCATGTCGGGACGCAGGTCGGTCGCGTGATCGCGCAAGACGTTGACCACATTGTCGATCGGGTTCAGAAACGTGAGCATCTTGTTGATCTCGGAAATGCAGATGTACAGCTGTCTGCTCTGCTTGATGTTAGGCGATGTCAGAACGTCGAGCTCGAGATCCCCAATGACATCTTGGTAGACAGCCGTCAGAGGAAGAGCCAGATCGATAATGGCATCAATGATGGCCTGGACGAGGAGCGACGCGTCACACGACTGCCGCAGGATAGTGCCGGGAGTCGACAGACGCAGCGCAATCGGCCGTTCGATGTCGCGAGCCGACACCTCGAAGAACGAGATGACGGTGTTGTCTGAGGTGAGGAAAATCGAGACCTGCTCGGCACTAACGGCAAGGTCGCGCGAGTTGAGCGACGAGTGCTTCTCCATGTAATCGGTACGAGCCTCGTTCGGCGAGGCATGGTAACGCTGCAGCGTACGGACGAGAATGCTATCGTCTGGTGTCAGGTCGGGGTCTTCGACGCTGAACCCGAGCTTGGCCTTGACACGGTCGCGGCGAGACATGTGCGCAGTCTTCGATGGCACGGCAGCCCTCTCCGGGTCCGTCTTGGCTGCAGAGTCCTTCATGGCACCGGCATCCGGGCCGCTGCCGCTAAGCCACCTCTTCGCCCGCATGAAGCCCCTTGCCGACTTTTTCGTAAGAACGCTGCTCCTGTCCGAGTCGGAATCGCTGTCGCTGTCGCTGTCAGGATCTACGAGCCGGACGAGCTTCTGCAGCGTCAGCAGGATAAAGGCGTGGTTCGGGTACCAGTCCGTCTTGGTACGGTTGCGCGTGTTCATGATATCCTCAATAGCCAGCTTGTGCAGGCCCTTGTGCTGACCGCACGCCTGGATGACGTCCCAACTGAGGCCATTGATGTTGATCCAGCGACACTTGCTCCAGGTGGGCTGCGGCCTCTGCAGGTACTCGATAAAGTCCTCGTTGCCAAAGGATCGGCTCTCGACACGGCCCTCGTCAAAGTCGGCCACGGTGATCTCGCACTCGGCGTGCAGGGCGGGGACCGAGGCGTGTCCTCCGTCCGGCTTCGAAGGGTCGTAGCCGGGCTCAGAGCCGGGCTGCCAGCCTGGGCGGTGCGACTCGAAGTCGAAGGCAATATCGTCGTAATCGTCGACCGCTCGGAATGTGTTGGCGCGAGAATCGGCGCGTCGGCGGACGGGGGAGAAGGGAGTTTCGGGGTCAGACGAGGCCGTGTTCGTGCGATGTGCCAGGCCTGGGGTGGGACTGATGGTGGTCTTGAGTCTCAGGGGCTGTGTATGCGGCGAGACCAGCTCGTCGGGGGCCGTCTCGACCTTTTGGAGGACAGGAAATTGCGTCGAGTCTTCGGCCATGGCTGGTTATGGTGATGACGGCAAGAGGTCGCGGCAGAGACGATTGGAGGTGGGCGACATGAGTGTTTTGGAGAAGTGTTGTCTCACGGACGATGGCCGACAGAGCGCGAGGCAGTGCTCTGCAGGGTTACTGGCCTCCAGGATGATGGCAGAGTCGCAGATCGTTGGCCAGGGTCGAAGCTGGTTGCGAGTGGTCAGGCCGTATGTGGTCGTGCTTTGGGCTAGGGTTACGAAACGTGCGGCCCGACCCTTCCAGAGGGTATATCTGCCACGTATTATGGAAGAAAGCGATGCTGCGATTGATGAAAGAGGATATTGATCAAGAACGACGACGTGAAGGAGACAGACTCCAGAACGTCTAGTGAGGGGAGTGGGAAGATCGAAGACCGCAGGCGGCAGCACGTGGTGATCGCAGATAAGATACGTGCCCATACAAGCCTTGCCCAGAATGACTCAGCGGCATGTCAACTGTAATGCAGTGGTCCAAGTGAACTTTACAGTGTTCTTCACGTACAAGCTTTTAGTCAAGCTTCGCCCCACGAAAATCCAAGACAGCAACGCCTGTCGATACCAATGCGCGGCCCTTTGACGTGATGTGCATTAATTGCATGCGTGAATTGAATGGATGTCATGGATGTAGCGCTATTGCCGAAGCCTGACACAAAGTCCATGGCACTGCTAATACTCACTCAAATTCATACGACACGCACATCTTTTACCTTCACGCCGAGCACTGCATTTTACCCCCATATTTTTACGAACACTAGCCATGCAACCGTAGGCCTTGCTGTGGGCGATGCCAAGCGGTCAAGCATGTCGCCCAGACCAAAGAGAATCCGGTCATCATTGACCTCACATCGTTGTCAACTGGTTGCACCCAACCATGGGCTCCAACTCCATACTCGATGCAAGAAGAGATGGCATCGGAGTGAGATTAATACCAAGTTTTACTACTTCATGAGGTCAATACATGACCAAGCTACTTGGCATCAGGCCCAACATGGATAATATCAAAGGTCGAATCCGCTCCACCGCAAGCACCAAGTACGAGCCTGCCCTGCCCAGGAACAATACACTGTCCGTTTCCGTTGGCTGGCTGCCAGACGAACGACTCGCCCTCCTTGGCGCCCTTGAGATCAACAAGCTGCCCGACGTCCGTCTTGCCCTCGCCGCCGGCACGTCCACCGCAAGAAAACACGGTTACGTTGTCATCGGCCGCCCTTCGGCTGTCCGTGCTGACACAGCCGTTCGTCACGACGCTCACCACGAGAGCAGATCCCGGCCTGGAACCATCGTTGTGGGCACCCGCCGTTATAAAATCAAATTTCTGCTCAGGCGCTCCAGAGCAGGGTACGAGAGCGAGAGGGATCAGGTTCTGGCGGAAATCGCCAGCTGTGGGATCAACGGACACACACTCGCCGGTTGAGGCTCGGAGAGATACGGACTGCACAGGACGGGTGGCGCCAGAGTCAAATTGGTGCGCCTCTGCCGCGGCTATGGGGTTGAGGGTACCACCGGCCCGGGAGACGGGGATCGGAGCCGTGGGGTTGACGGGTGTGGTAGAACCAGGTGTTTCAGGAGCGGCGTCATCCTTCTTTTCCTCCCCTCCGCCATTGCCATTGCCGTTGCCGTTGCCGTTGCCGTTGCCGTTGCCCCCGCCCGCACCAGCGCCACCGCCACTATCAATAGTAGAGAAGATTGGTGTAGGGGCACCTTCTGGAGCCGAGGGCTGCGTGGGTGGCTTTGTGGGCGCAGGTGGCGCCCGAGATACGTAGGACTCTGTGGTCGAGGACAAAGCCGGGTCAGGAGTACAATAACCGCCGTTGTTATCCTCGCCAGTTCCAGCATCAGGAGCAATAGTTGAGAAAATAGGTTCCGGGGCGCCGCTGGGTGCAGTTGGTGGAGCGGTAGGCTGAGCGGCAGACCTGGTCCTTCTGGTTCTGGTTTTGGAGCAAGACGATGTCTGATCGGGAGTGTTTGCGTTATCGTCGTCGTTATTATTGCCGCCTTGGTTACCTCCATTACTGCCGGCTTTGCCCCCTCTTCCACTGGCATGACCTCCATCGTTGCCACTATTGGGGGCAATCGGGGAGAAGATAGGCGTCGGTGCACCAGGGGGTGCCGTGGGCGGGGCAGCCTTTGAAGTGGTGGAGCTAGTAACGGGGGCCGCTGTCGAACAAGGTAGGGCTTCGGCATCGTTACCGCTGCCATTGCCGCCTTCGTTACCGCCATCGGGAATGATAGTTGAGAAGATTGGTGTTGGAGCCCCGTTGGGTGCGGTAGGCTGCTGGGTGGGCCCGGCGACGGGAGGAGCAACGGGGGGAGCAGCGGGAGGCGGCATAACACCTCCATTGCCGTTCCCGTTGCCATTTCCATTGCCGTTGCCATTTCCATTCCCGCCCCGGTTATCGCCGTTCCCACGCCCGTTCCCGCCGCTTCCCTGGCCACCGCCACCGCCACCGCCAAAAAGACCACCCAAGTTGGGGAGGACACCTGCGCTGCCTGAACCCCCTAGAAACGAGGGACGGCCGGCCCCGAAGCCGGCACCGTGAGGACTCCGCTTCCACCGGATAGACATGCCTCCAATATTGAACCTCTGCGTCGTCTCGCCCTCGGCACAAGCGGCAACGCCGAGTGAGTCTCCGTTTGCGACGAGACACTGGCCGTCGGCGTTCTTCGGCTTCAGAGATAGTGCCATGCGGCCGGCATAGGCAAAGAGCTGAGACTCGGTGACCTTGCCCTCACCAGCCGCGCGGCCGCCACAGGAGAAAAGGTTGACGTTGCCGTTGCGGCTGTCAAAATTGAGGCATGCTTGGGTCTGCCATGGTCAGCTAACGAGTCCATGCCGTTGCATGAGGGTTCGGCATACCAAGGTGTTCACGAAGAGAACCTGGCCTGGCTGGTCATTGTGCTTTCCAGCGGTAATGACATCCCAGCCCTGGCCTTCAGTCGATCCGCAGGCGGACAGCTGCACGGGGGTCAAGTTCGCACGAAAATCACCGGACAGGGGGTCGACAAAGAGGCATCGGCCGTCGGCAGTCTGGACCGACACATTGGCAAAGGCACGCGTAGCAGTGTCATCCCGCTGGTGGGCCTCGGCGGTGGCGTCGGGATCGAGCGCCTCGACGGCACGGCGGCGAGGCATTGGGGTCGCAGCGGCGAAGGCGGCGAGCAGCGAGAGAAGTATGTGCTTCGACAGCATGGTGGCGTGCGAAAGAAGAGGCAGACCTGATGAGCGGGCGAAAGTAAGAAGTAAAGTAAACAGGGACCTGCACTGCAGATTTCAAGAAGCGAAGGTAAGAGGAACTGAAAAAGGCGTGAAAAAGAAAGGAACGTGGATGGACAGAGCTAGCTGCGCAAAAGAGCGAAGCCGTGATGATCGACTGACTCTCCCAAAAGAATCCTCCGACGATGGGAGGAAGGGCGGTGCGTGGGAGATATACGCCGGCTGTCATGCCGCCAGAGTTCGACAGGGACATGGTCATGCTAGTACGAGACGAAGGTTGTCGCTCGCCCCCTTTCTCCTCAATTTCGTTTCCAACGCACCATTTTCAAGGCCCGTTTCACGAGGGCAAAAGCCCAAGAAAATCCAAGCGCCGTTTGTGCCGCTGACCATCAGCCTTGGAGAACGGTGTCCAAGGGGGGCAACTCGGGCATTTCGAAGACCAAGTGCAGGGTCAAAGAGGGGTCGCAGCAGTGGTTGGCGAGGTCCATCTCCCGTCCGATCACTGAGCGACGCAGGGAAGCGGCCTGATCAACGGAGCATTTTGCTGCGGTTCCTGTCGTCTGGTCGTCGGCTGTCAATCAGGTGCATGGGCGGGCCATTGGCTGAGGAGCCCGAAGATGCTGGCGTGTGAAACCACATCTGTAGCAGCAGGTGGTGGTGAGGAGGGGAGAGGAGCTGCGGTTAACGAGGATTGGTGGTGAGGGGACGAAATGGGGGACCAAAGGGCCAACTTGAGACGAGGCCCTGGATCTTGGGACCTGCCGAAGAGCCGGATTGGCTGTGCGGCGTGGGCCGTGCTCGATCTGGGGGGGTCTTGCCCTGCCTGACCCTGGTTGCCTGGCCCTGGCAGGATCTACCTGCTGCAGCTGCCGCCATGTGCTGCCCCTGGATTGAGACTGCCTCTGCCTCCCTTGGTACCGTATTCATTAGCCTTTTGAACACGTCCAGGCCAGGGGTGCCTCAAGGGAGGTGCTCCTCCTTGCACCTGATCCCCGAGCCATCGCACCTGCCTGACCCCAGCCGCATCCCCCAACAATACAGCGCAACTGGGGTGCTGACGGAGGAAGCCATTACGGGGTTGAAACGAAGGTGCCTTCTAGGCGCCATCGTAAGACAGGAGAACGGAAGAGGAGCGTCAACTGGTTGTCGACGACGATGCTATACTATATGCTGCCAGAATCAACGTCAAATGGTCCCTCCGTCGCCATCGCCGTCGCCGTCATTGTCAGCCATACAGACCAAGGCACCGTCTTACCTGTTTGCTGGTATGCTGGTGCCTTCATTGTCATCGTCCTGCCTCTGAAACATCCTTTCAGTTCGTCCGATATCCTCACCCTGGACAGCCTTTGCACTGCCCTCACCTGATGCGAACTTTGTTTCTTCGTCTCATTGCTTCTTCATTCCGACGTTGAGAGCTCAAATTGGTCCGATTCTCCTGATGCGCGGACCTGCGTTCAACGACTTCATCACGCTCCCCGCAGGCATGGTATGCACAGCAGTCGCATCTGGGGCTCGACAGCACCATTCAGCCGCGGCAAAACCTCCGCCGGACCAGCCAAGCTTGCACGCAGATCACTGCCACCGCCTCCGAGACGACAGGCAGAGACGATGTTAAATTGGGCCTTCTCTCCACCAACCTTCCATATCACTACATGGGATTTGCAATCGCAGGAAAGGAATCTCCGTTCGCCCTCCGCGCCAGAGTGGCTTCACATGCGACCAGCTGCGGGCCCTGAGACTCTGGCCTTTTTGGTCGCAGAGGTTTCGACATGGTGGGAGGCGCCGTCCAAGATCAGCTTAAACGTGGAACTAGAGGGCGGCTCCCATCTTCGCGCCGGCATTTCAGGCCTTGCAATTAGCTTGCGGCGCTTGCCTTTGCTGTAGTCGGCCGCTGCGCACGCCACTTTGCCACCACGTACTCAAACCCCATCCTCGAGCGGTAGTTATATGCCTTCAGCCTTTGCCTTTCCATCTTCAGCCACCTCAATCATGATCACTTCCGGCAGTTTCAATTGTGATTCTGCAAGCTGATTCCATGCGCTGATTACCAGGATGGCTGGTATTTGTTCATCTACACCTCCGATACGATATCAATGCACGGTACCGCCACCTCACCATCAGCAAACAGAAGAAGGATGCAGTGCACGATAGATTTTTACTTTCCGGCAGCCGCCACTGATGACCCGGAGCTTGCTCCAGCCTGAGCTTGCCATGCTTGGCTTGGAGAAAACTGGACCCACGATGGCTTCAACCGTCTCCATCGTCTCCAATTCTTCGTGTGGAAACCTCCGCCGACCAGAGTTCCAGGCCAATGCACTACACGTCATTCGCGTCATAACAGCAACTTCTTCATCGTGGACGCTCAACATCGAGATGTCGTGTCAGAGATGGAAATCCGATATAAAAAGAAGCATCTATCCAACTAATGTCCCCTCTACCACGGCCAAGTCACAAGACGACCATTTAATGAGCTTCTTTCGATTACCCCTTCAGCATACCCTTACCACTCAAAACACTTCGTGATCAAGCGATTTCTTCTATATGTTAAACCCTCAGCCTTGCCGCCAAGTCTTGAATTCACTTGCACACTCCGCCAATATGACATCCACGGCAACAGTTCAAACTGACGCCGAACCCCCACCCTCCTCAATCCATGTCGTCCGCATCAATAAAGCATCTGACGAGATGGACGAGGCTGATCGGCGCCTTGCCGCTCTTGGTTGCGTTCCTGTATGGCTCCCTTTGCTCTTCAATGTTCTCTGGCTGTCTACGCCTCAGAGTGAGCTGAATCGTGTATCTGACTGCTCCGCGATCATTAGATGTTCAAACGCCGCTTCACATCGTGGTCCTGCTTCAGCTTCGCGCTCAGCATCTCTGGCCTCTATGCCACCATCATGACCACCTTCAGCTACCCTTTGGTGGCTGGCGGGGCTGCTTCCATCGTCTGGTGTTGGCTGATCGGTGGCGCCGGTGCCATGGCGTTGGCCGTCTCCATAGCTGAGATTTCCTCCGCATATCCTACCTCTGGTATGTAGTGGTCGGTATTTGGTGCAAATTTAATGGCTACTGACCCTCATATAGGTGGCATGTGCTTTACTATCAAATATCTATGCCCCCCATCCTATGTTGCCATGGTTGCCTGGATTGACGGTAAGCTGCTCCTGAACCAGTCGCTTCGGATCGAAACTAACAATGCAGGGTGGCTCAACCTCGTAGGGACCGTCGCGGGCACTGCCTCCGCTGAGTATGGCGCTTCCCAGATGCTCCTATCCGCTGTCTCTATTGCTTCTGGTTTTACCTACCAGCCGACACAGGCTCACATCACGGGCGTCATGGCCATGTTATGTGTGTTTCATGGCCTCATCAACACATGCCCGACACATTGGCTGAGCAAAATCACCAGTACTTATGGCATTGTCCATATTTCAATCTTGCTTGCGGTATCCTTGGCGCTTCTTGTTGTGGACAACAACAAGCATACGCCAGAATACGTCTTCACCAACCTCGAGACACAGTCTGGGTGGAAACCTCCTGAATTCAGCTTTTTCTTTGGTTGTCTCAGCGTAGCCTGGATCATCGCCAACGCCGATGGTGTCGGCCATATTGCGGAGGAGACGAAGAACCCCTCCCGCGTCATCCCAACGGCCATCACATCTGCCGCCGCCTTCACCTACATTGTGGGCTTCCTTTACAACATTGTTCTCGTCTTCACTATGGGAGACCCTGTTGCTCTGGCGGCTACTCCGACCGGCATGCCCGTGGCCCAGATCTTCTACAACGTATTCGGCCGAGCTCCTGCAGTCCTCTTCACACTGCTTGCCTTTCTCGTCATGAACTTTGTCTGCATTCCTTCCATCCACGCTGGTTCTCGCACAATCTGGGCCTTTTCACGCGACCAAATGCTTCCCCTCTCGCGGGTCTGGTATCGCATGTCGAAACGCACCGACACACCCGTCCCAGCCGTCTGGCTCTACGTCGCCCTCTGTGCATCCATCAACCTCATCGGTCTCGGCTCGCCCGTGCTGATTGCAGCCATCTTTAACGTCTGCGCCGTTGCGCTGAACTGGTCATACTGCATTCCGATCATTTGCAAACTGCTCTTTCCCGCCCGATGCGAGCGCGGTGCCTGGCACCTTGGTCGTTTCAGCAGGCTCGTCAACCTGTACGCCGTTATCTGGAACGCGTTCCTGTCGGCCATCTTTATGCTGCCTACGCGGCGACCTGTGACGGCGTCCAACATGAACTACGCGAGTTGTGTGTTGGCGTTCGCCCTGATCTTCTCGGTGGCCTATTGGTATCTTGGGGGGCGGCGCTACTACACCGGCCCTCGCACGCATGCGCACATTGAAAACGGGGCCGCCGTCAGTGACGAGCTGCTGCCGGCGCACGATCCAGAGAAGGGCCCCGAGGGGGTGGCGCCAGATGTCGGGTCAGCCTCGACGCTGGCGGGGTCTGTCGAAGGGATTGTAGCGTATCATGACAGGGCGGGCTCGGACGCAGGGTTTGCTACGGATGGAGTCGTTACTGCAGATGCGTCGTCGAATGGAGAAATTGGTTCGTCGTATACTGGTTCTACGGTGTCAGTCGATCAGGAACCGGTGGACGTGGTGGATGCAGAGAAGATCGACTCGGGTGCTGTACGAGTGTCACGGGAGTTTGAAAAGCGCGAATAGTTTGTTGCCGGCATTAGGTCGTTCAGCAGCCATATCAGTCTAGGTCTTATGAGGCTGTTGCACGGAGGAGTTTGGTGTTCTTGGCGCAATGGGCTGGTTTGTAGGCGAGCGCGGCTTGTTGAAAGCATGATCTTTCCTGTTGATTCAACTTCATGAAAAATTAAGATACTTCGAGCGTTCCCAGCAGAAAGAAGTAGTCAACACAATTCGGTGCAAAGCACGAACATGTATCGAGGGATAGGGTTCGTGGCAGGCAAGCGGGAGTGCTGGCGTGACACTTGTTCATGCAGGCTGAGAGTTCTGCGACCTAGTCTACCTGGTGTTCAACTACATTGACAGACAAGAGGCGAGATAATTAAACTCAAGTGAAAAAGGAAAGATGAGGTTTTAGTGTCCACCGACAGGTTCTGTGGAATTGATCCATGATCTCAGGACAAACTTGTTCCCAGGTAGGCTCCTCAATAGAATACGAATGTGGACGCTGAGTGAATGGTAGCCTTCCAGAGTTGACAATAGGGGTCCTGATTAAATTGATGCCCGTCCATCCATGCCATCCAATCCAATCCCTTCGCTCATGCTTCTTCTTCACAACCAGGCCACGCCCAGCAGCAATGAAACAGCAGAAAAAAAGAACACGCCTGTCAGACGTCCGTCAACACCCACCCCGCCCGCGCGCCCAAGGGCAAGACCGCAAGACAGGGACGAGATCATCAAACGCCCTCTCTACAGCTTCCTCCCGGGAGGAGGAGGAGCCGCCGCCTTTGCAGGCGGTGCGAGGGCAACCAGAGGCATTCACTCTAGGGTGTCGAGGATATGCATCATCAACCAGGGTGGGATCTGTGGCTCTTTTGGAGAACCCAGAGTAGGTCGAATACTATAGAAATGATTCTCCTGCGCTTCGTCAGTGGCTGTTGTGTTGGGAGAAGACAGCTATAGGGGGCGGCGTACTGAAGTATTGTCGACATAAGAAGAAAAGAGGAAAGGGGAAATGGGCGGGCAGGATGGGCGGGTTTTATAGAGGCTTTCGGGGGAGGGCGCTGGGGCCGGTTTGTGTGCGCTTGGGGCACCATGAGATCGCGCGCGGTGGGCGCCAATGGGAACGGGGGTTGCTGAAAACTCAAGACTTCCGGCAGACATTGCTCAAGGGTAGAGATTGAATTGGAGAGATGATGTGTTCGTAACAATGACGTTCTGATTCCTAGTCAGAAACCGGAAAAACAAGATGCAGGCTCCTACAGCGGCGCATACCCGTGCATCTCCAGATACCCAGCACTCACAAGACTCTCCCTGCCCGGCCGGTCCGCCGACCCCGTCCAGTACATGAGCCCGCCGAGCTGCCTCTCCCTGACCCAGCGCGCCTTGATGCGGACGCTCGCCGGCGTGTCGAAGCTCGCGAACCCCTTGTCGGGATCGACGTGCCACGCCGCCGCCGCCTCCTCGTCGACGCGCGCCTGCTCGACCCACGCCGCCGGCAAATCGCAATAGTTCAGCTCGCCGGCGTCGGAAAACGGGTGGCCCGCCGCGCGGGCGCCGGGAAAGTAGCGCGCGTACGCCGGCACGCCCAGCAGGATCTTGCGGCCGGGGAAGCCCTGGCGCAGGCAGTAGTCGACGCCGGCGGCGCAGTGGGCGCGGCAGCAGTCGTGGTGCGCGAGGTGGGGCGGCGCGCGCAGCTGCGCCTGGTGGCCGGCGACGGGCGTCCAGGCGCCCGTGAGGTCGTAGGCCATGAGGTTGAGGAGGTCGAGGTACTGCGCCGCCTGCGCGAGGTCGATGTTGCGGAGCACCCACTCGCCCGGCGGCAGCGCCGTCGTCAGGAGGTAGCGCGGGCCCGGCAGCTGCGTGCGGATTGTGTAGAGGAGGTGCAAGAAGTCGTTGCCCTCGCGGGTGTTCTTGGGGTGCTCCCAGTCGACTGATTTGCTCATCTTGTCAGCCATGGCTATGCCTCGCTTTTGTGCAGAGGCAGAGGCGGCGCCCTTTCATGTCCGCGCCTGGTTGGGACCGCTTACTGTCGACGCCGTCGAGCTCGTGCTGCTCGACAAAGGCGCGGATCGCCCGGGCGAATGTCTCGCGGGCCTGCGGGTTGGCTGCCATGGCGGGGAACTGCGCGCTGCCGGTGCCGCCGCCGATGGACACGAGCGTCTTGAGGTGCGGGTTGGAGCGCTTCAGCTTGGCGAGGGCCGCGAGGCAACCCTTCTCGCCGTCGGCCTCGACGCCTGTGTCGGCCCACTCGTCAATGGCCTTGATCGAGGTCAGCCCGTCATCGTGTTTGCTGCACCAGTAGAGCAGCTTGGGTCAACGTACTCGCAGGCTTCCATCTTCATTGATGCTGTTGATCCGGTCAGCATGCGAAGCATCACAAGATGAAACAAGCGAGGACTGTACCCGACAAATGAGTAGAGAACGTGGCTCGCCTGGGTCACGTTTAACCATGATGGGGGCTTGCCCTTGTAGATGATCCACGAGGGGTAGTACACGGCGTTGGCGAAGCCTCCCGACATGGTGGTTTTCTCGTCGGGCAGATTGAATGACAGATGACTCTGCTGTCAGCTGTTCACGCTCGATGGAAAGCAAACGGATAGGGCTGATGTTTGTCTTTTCAGTCGTGGTATGAACCAGGCGGGGTGTTCGACTCTTTCGACTGTGCGGCTCGGCGGCCACGCAAGCCATCCCGGCGGACCATTGAGCGCGGCTTCCGCTGCTGCACGTCGCTCGTGTCAGTGGATCAGGGGAGGCGCAGTGTGGCTGGTATTTCCACTGTCTTGCAGCTTCGGCCAGAACTTCCAAGACACGTATGTCTTGGAACAAGCATGGTTGTGATCCATGCGGTTGCTGATCGCTGTTGGGGTCCAAGCAGGTTCACGGATTGACTGATTTCAAGCAGCAACCGAAAAGAAAAAGCCCGCTGAGGAAATATGCTACTAAATAAAGGCTGCCAGGCCAAAAAGAGGTGACAAGTGAGGCAGCTTTGCACCTGCTGGAGAAGACACTGGGTTAGCCCGCCGAGATCATGCAATATGCGAGGAGAGTAGCGTGACTGAAAATCCAACTGGTCATCATTTATCCCACATTTTTCAACTAGTATAACAACACTGGACACCCATCCATGAGGCCCTTATCTTTTCTGGAAACGACGTCATTCCACTACCTGGCATAAATAAATACACAAAGTCGTCATGGTACCAAGGTATTATCGCGTTCTTCATGACAACCACAGCATCCGACGATGTGGACATACACCAAAGAAGGACCACTATGGCCCAGGCCACCCGTTTCAAGATTGGGGAGCGAAACCACTTCACCAGGTATGCTGAGAAAGGCCTGTGGCAGACCTGTCTGTCCGGTGGAAGTGGAAGTGTCCTGGACTTGGAACGCGGCACAACATCAGGCAGGACACTGGGGCCCTAATGCCACGAGGGGACGGCTGGCTGCATCTGTGGACTGACCCCGCATGTCATTGGATGTGATCGACTAATTGCCTGTAGCTGGAAATGCGCAAGGCACCAGTCCAAGGGGCAGAAGGGCCCTGACCTGGGAGTCCAGGTGGGCGAGCCATTTCAGTTTCGTGTATCACCTCGAATGTCAGATGAGTAACGTGAAGATCCCATGGGTGTACACCGGCCGGCTTTGCTTGCAACAGACTTTCCTCGGAAATGGTCTCCCATCATGACCCGTGTTGCGCGCATGTTCTCCCACATACGACCATACCTACTGGAGAACTCGGGATCCCGTCCGCTCTCCCATAGATAAGCCAGTAAGGGTCGGACTAGTAGTTGGGTGGGTGACCACCAGCGAATCCCTGATGTTGTATGTTTTTGTTTTTTATCTTGATGTTTTCATGTTTTGATGTTTTGTGGTACTGTCTTGATTCCCACGAGTCTGTCTGGGTTTGTTCTTTAGGTATGTGGCTGACTGTGGCTGTCTCAGTGTGTCGGTGTGTGGTTGGGCAGGAGCCAGCTAGCTTTGGCTCTGCATCTCCTGCCCTGTCGCCACCACTACATGGTACATCTCCTGCAAGCCCTCAGCGTGGAGCAGCCCGCCCGTGAAGCAGCCCGCCGCAATGCAACCCAAATCCGACGTCCGTCTTTCCCCATCTCCAGTCCGACAGCGAACGAGCGCCTCTGCATCTAGCACATCAGACCTCAGTTGGGTACTTCTTACAGTCATCCTCATCAAACTAGTCCCGACCTCCTCGACTAACCGACGTCACCCACCCGAGACAGTCCAGGCCCGAAACAAAGGCGGCATTGTCGTCCATCTCCCACAGACTAACGAACTCCAGTAACCACAAGCAGAAAGTCACCTCACCCACCGACCACCTGCTTTTCAGTCTCTTTCGGAGGACCCCATAGGACGTCCCTTACCCAGCCGGGCTATTTTGCGGAAAGCCTGCATGTCCAGCAGCCTTCTCGACGGGAATCCTCCAGCTCCCGATGCTTGCATCCGTGGCCTTCCCTTGTGTCTCTGCAAGTGTGAGGGCCAAGCGGAGTTGGCCATGCATTGTCCGCCGAGCCGTCAGTGTCTTGTTCTCAGTCTCACTTTGGCCCACGAGGCTCCAGACACTGAAAAGAGGACTCCGAACAGGAGCTTACCAGCCTGAGAACCATGACCTAACCCTCTGGTCTCGGGCCTCAGCGCTGGATCAGGCACATGCTCATTCCAGACGAGCGCCCGGCCCATGAAGAAGCGCTGCCGGCCAAACTCAATCTGACCTCACCGACCGCACGACGCCAAGACGGGGCTAGAGGCGCTGTTGGTGTCGTCGTCTTCTGTCTCTGTCTTCTGTGTCTGTCTTCTGTGTCTGTCTTCTGTGTCTGTCTTCTGTCTCTGCCAAGGCGACCATTGTCTTGCGCGGGAAACCGACCCACGCTTTCGGTGAACACATGCCATCCGGGCAACCACGAAGCACGATGATGTCGACTGCGACTAGCTCTGCGGGTGGCTTTCACCTTAGGCTTGGTGTTGGTCCGACGCGGTTCCTGTGCCTGGTGCTTCTCTAGCGTTGCAGAGTCCAACCTCCTGCAGCAGAGGTTGGACTCTGGCCGCATGAAGTGGGAGCATGTCCCAACAGTCCTGTCCAGTCCGTCGTCTTCTTAAGGTCGCCGTCCTCGTCTCTGCTCGTACCTCTCCCTGCTTGGTTTCTTCACGTTTTGCAGTTCTTGCAGTGCACCTTCACAAACGAACCTCACCATGTACACAACAACAGTCCTGAGCCTCCTGGCTCTTACCGGAACAACTCTAACCGCACCCACAGCCCTCCACCTCCGAGACTCAATGTGAGAAACGGCCATACCGTCCTCCCTCCAGAACCACGAGACTGACGCTCACCAGCCCTCCTTCCCCAACCAGACACCGCCGCGCCCCGGCCCTCGGCCAGACTCTCTACTCGTGCGTCAACCCGGGCCAGGTAGCGCTCACCTACGACGACGGGCCGTACACCTTCACGTCGTCGCTCCTCGACGTCCTCGACGAGGAGGGCGTGACAGCGACCTTTTTCCTCACGGGCTCCAACTTTGGCCGCGAAATGACCTCGGCGCCCTGGTCCGCCATCGTGCAGCGCACCTACGCCGCCGGCCACCAGCTCGCCTCCCACACCTACACCCACCCAGACCTGTCGGCGCTGACGCCGGCCGCGCGCGCCGCCGAGATGGCCGCCAACGACGACGCCTTCCGCGCCATCCTCGGCTTCGCGCCGCGCTACATGCGCGCGCCCTTCCTCTCGTGCGACGCCGCCTGCGCCGCCGACATGGCGGCGCTCGGCTTCCACATTGTCGACGCGAGCATCGACACCAAGGACTTTGAGCACAACCAGTACGCCACCGTGCCCGTGGCCGCCGCCAAGTTTGACGCCGAGCTCGGCTGGGACCCGGCCGTCGGCGGCGCCATTGTGCTGGCCCACGACGTGCACGAGACGACGGTCAGCGTGCTGACGCGGCACATGATTTCCACGCTGCGCGCGAGGGGGTTCCGGGCTGTCACGGTGGGGGAGTGCTTGGGGGATTCGCCGGATGGGTGGTACAAGTCGTAGGCCGGATGGTATGGGCGTTTGGGTGGTGGGTTGATTTTTCAACATGATTTTTACGATACTAATTGTCGGTATGAGAACTCAGGCATGGTGGCTATGGAGTGTGGCGGCTATCTGCAGGGTTATGATAGACCGATGGGGCATCAATAGGAGACGAAACACCGAGTTTTCAACAAATAAATCAAAGCAGAGCGGCATCATTCACGTCGAGCCAAAACCATGGCCAAAGTCAAAAGCCTCGCTGAGGATGTACTACCCAAATCCGCTGCATAACAAAAACCCCCTTCCCAGTGGTATCATACCCCGCTATGGCTCCTCTCCAACCCCCAGGGCCACCCCGGCCCCCTCGACGCCGGAATACCGCATAAACAGCTGATCCAAAAAGTGCGAGTGGCGTATCCCGTTGGGCCTCGCCTTGGCAAACGCATCGATGGCCTCCTGCACTTCAAACCCGCACCGGTCGACGAGGTAGCACACCAAGAAATACCCCGTCCGGTTGAAGCCGTAGTGGCAGTGCACGCCGATGACCTGCTTCTTCTCGTCGTCGTCATCGTCGTCGTCGTCGACGACGACCTCGTCCCCGGGACCCTCGCGCTGCGTCGCGCGGAGCTGGTCCACGAGCTGGATGAACATGTCGACCTCGGCGTCGCGCGGGGGCACCTTGGAGACGGTCGCAAACTTGCGGTACGTGATGCCGGCTTGCTGCTCCATCGTCAACGGGTCGTACACGGGCTGGTCGTGGCTGATATCAATGACAGTCCGGATGATGCTGCCCCAGGCCTTGGCGAATTCCGAGGGGCTATGGACGTCGTCCGTCTCGCGGAGGGTCTTCATGGCGCGGAACACGGGGGCACCGGGGCGGCCGATGGGCGCTGATACGGACGCGACCTTCTTCCACTTTTCCAGGTTCTTGACGTCCCACTTGCCCTCGCGGTTCAGGTGCTGCAGCTGCCAGCCGAGATTAAGACGATTCGTCACATTATCTTGCAGAAACTTGGAGATGACGCCCGACAGGATGCGCACCGTGGCCGGCATGTACAGGAGGGCATGGTTGGCGGGTGCCGGCAGGATGATGGACTTGAAAGTCTTTGCGGGATGGCGTGGCTGGGGCGGGATGCTGCTGGCCTGGCCCTCCTCGTTTGGCGTGGATGGATCGTCTTGCGTGCTGTCGTCGCGGTTGACCATTCGCCGGTCTCGGCTGAAATCTTCTTCTCGAATGTCGTCAATGGTTGCCGGCAGGTGATCGGACGGTTTCGTCGACGTGTTCACTGGCGCAGCCGAGTCGGCAAGTTCGTCGTCGCCATCATCCGATGCCACCTCGGAGGGAGAGGGCCCTTTGCCTGATAGACACGTTTCGATCTTGGCGACTTCCTTGGCCGACGTGATGGTGTCAGCTTCACCACCAACGAGGAGGACTGGGATGTTGAGGCCAGCCCAAACATCGAGACCCGGCATGCCACCCTTGGCCTTCCCGCCTTCAAACTCAGGTAACGTTCCCCAGGCCATACGGCGCCAGACAGGCGTGCGGCTCTGGGTGTTGAATCGGTCCTGAATCTTGCGCAGGTGAAGGTCAGCGCCGGCGCCGACGAATCGATTGACGCTGGCGCTCGCAGGTCCACCCCACCGATCCCACCGTCGCCAGAGGTCGAAGATCCAGCCGGGGATCCATAAAAGTCTCTTGAATAGCACCACCTTGTCCTCTGGAGGCGGGGCGGATACGGGGCAGATTCCCACCAGTGCTACGACATGATCGGAGAGGCGAGTGCGGCCAGGTCTGCTGCGACTCGCGAGACGTGCGCTGAAGGCGGTCCCGAGGCTGTGCCCAATAAGGATGACGGTGCCCTCCGGGTCCTTCTGACGGTGCTCCTCGATGACGACCTCCAGGAGTTCGACGAGGGCGTCGAAGGAGTAGGCCTCCCATGGCGCCGGATCAAACGCTGATCGTCCACAGCCGGGGAGGTCGACGGCGAGGCACGAGGAGAGGTGCACCAGGCTGGTCAGCAGCGGATGGAACTGCGCGACGGAACCGCCAAGACCATGAACAAACACGAGCAGGGGTGCCGCTGGTTTAGGGAGCTGATCGACGCGAGGATGTCGTCGATAAAAAGTTCGTATGGAGGGATACGTGAAACGACTGGTGGTGTAGGATCTGACGGTAGAGTTGTCTTTGAGAAGCTGGGGGTCCGTCTCATCTGGGTGATGGGGGTTCGAGGCTGGTCCATCGATCCAGCCGGCAACCTCGGGCGACTTTATCGCCATGGCAGCCAAAAAGCGAAACGAGTGATGGGTTGAAGGTTGGGTATCAATTCGATGAGTGCAACGTGGAGATCAGAATAAGGCTGAGGTGAAAGCGATAGAATGCGTATGCAAGGTGACGGCTGCGATGCGGGTCGTCCTGTTTGGGTATCGTTGAGGTTGTGGTGAGTGAGCTGAGCAGGGATTCGGGTATGGGTCAGGAAAGAAAACGGGAAGAAACCCTCTTGTTCTGTCCTGCGAGATGCAAGAACTTGCCAGCTCCCAGTCCCAGGCCTTGTCCACAGGGCTCAGAGGGCGGACTCGGCAAGGGCGTGCGACAGGATGAGGAGGGAATGCACCAGAGTCACACAGCGCGCGGCGTGTGATGGATGGGTGGGTGCTGCCTCTGGGCTGGCGCCCAAGGCGGCTTGTACTGTGGCGGGTCGATGAGGGGGTATGAGGGCTGCTGAAATCGTAAGACCTCTACTTTACATGGCAAATTGAATGAGCGCAACGTGGGAAAATTGAGGACTGCTGTGGTTCGTGATTCTTGCTCGCGAGTCGCAGGTCGCAAGGCTGTTGAGCCAGCGTCTGAGTCAATCAAAGAGAGGGACCTCAAAAAGAGGGACCCCAAAGACCCAAAATGCGCTGGTCGTTCTTGGCTTTTTCATTTGGGCGTCCACGGCCCCTTCCGTCGTCTCGACCAACTCTCGACCAACTCTCGACCAACTCTCGACCAACGGCTCGTCCTCTCTGGCCCACTGGTCCCCATGCCTTGATTTGACTGGCTGCCGACGGCCGGTGAGGGGCAGCCAGTGGGCACGGACGTCGGTCAGGATTTACTTCACCGACGACCGACATCTAACTTGCCGCTTCTTGCCTGCTCCGGCATCAGCCATGCTTTGGGGCGTTGACCTCTACGTATTGTGGTCAGTCTATCGTTGAATCTTGACAGAATATAGACACAATCCTCATACCTTAGTGTTAGGGGCCCAGGCTCATACGAGTCACTTGTTGCACGCCACTTCCAAATCCAACTTCTCACTAGCCCATACCCTTCAAGCCTCCTAGCACCTCGACTCGGCCCTGAGCAACGAATAGCGCAGCCGGTATCAATGTTCTACACCTGCTTCTCAAGCACATACGACCATACCTATTGGAAAACTTGGGATCCCGTCCGCTCTCCCCTAAATAAGCCAATAAGGGCCGGATCAGTAGTTGGGTGGGTGACCACCAGCGAATACCTGGTGTTGTATGTTTTATTTTGCTCGAGCGGAATGTATTTCACCTGGGAATCTAACAAGAATGGAAATGCTGAGGAGGGCAGTCCCTTGCTGAAGAAGGGCCAGGCAAAGCAAGGCATAAAGCACTTTTGTAGTCTCAAGGTTTGATAAGTCCTGTGGCGCTTTGGTTCTTGGCTTTGCAGGTGTCTTGTAACGATTGCTCAGCAAGTTGTTAGCAAGGAGCCTCGGAAGCTGATTTACGGGTGACGAGGCTAGTAATCGGTGTCAGTAAGAAGTTCGTGTCGTCATTGCATTTATTGCCTGGTATTGTAATTGTTATGATAGTGTGTGCGATGGCTTGATAGGTTTGTCTATGGGCTTTACAGAGTTTTGAATTCCGTAGAAGACTTCATATATACAAGGTATGATTTATAGAAATATATAGTATAAGGTTTACCTAGCGTTTTGAATTGTAGCAACCATTAATAGTGATTTCGTATTCATAGTTGGCTCGGCAAATTTCAAGGTTGCAGTAGCATTTGCACTGCTCTTTCAGAGTACCTTGTTCATAACATGACCCTCCATAAATTGGTTGAGGCTGAGTTTTATCATTTTCATAGCTATCAGGGGTCGAGTTTAAAAGTTAGTTAAGTTAAATTAGTAGTGACATCATCCGTGCAGATAGTAGTTAGATGTCAATTGATGGGAATGAAGGCTGGGATGAGGAGGATTAGCAGGCTGACGAGGGGCCAGCTTGAGAGAATGAGGACCCTAGAAAGTGAATAAGCTCGATAAGGGCCTATCAGCCACAGGATCGCAGCCTCGACCAGTTGACGTGCATTGACTAGCGTAATATTGCAGCAGGACACGGATATGTTGCCGTGACCGATGAGGAAGAATGTGGTGAGGCGTTTGCAAAGCTCCCTTACCGCCTCTGAAAATGGGCAAGAAAAGCTAGAAACGTCTGGATAGAGAAGCCTGTACCCTAAGCTGTTCATTGAACATACAGAGGAAGCCAACACAGAGCCATACAGGTCGGCATTAGCCTGCAGCGATGGGAGCTGTATCAGTGGATCACAGCGTGAGTCTGGTGCTTGGCCACTTGAAGCAAGGCTCGCAACGTCTTGCTCAGTTTTGCCGTCTTCCATCTGACGATTGATTGTCTCTCCAAGGTCGTCTCTCTCATCTGAGTTGCTTCCCTTCGTCTGGAGTCTGCTCGCCAACAAGCTACCGGATTGCATGACAGTTCAGGAGGGTCTCAGGGGGCGCGTCGCAGTGCAAAAGCCCAGCTTCCATGTGCTATCCTCTCTTACTAGGTGTCCTGGGGTGATCCGGAGTTGGCTTGCTTTCTTGGATCTCTCCCGCAGGTAAAAGAGCAATTGATATTGGTTATCGGTCGGAGAGTGGACGGTGACCTAGCTTTGAAGTTTGTATGACCGATCGTGCAACCACGCGGTCTGCTTGTCGATCATGATTAGATCTTATAGGTTCGAGACTATGACTTTCTGTGCACGGCGCGAAATTGACGTCAAGAAGCAGCAGAGGGTATAACATAGATTCAACATCAACAAAGACCCATTGTGTGGTTTTTATGCAGTAGATAATACACTGGTGATACAATAACTCGCCATGCATGGATGTTTCCCCGGCAGCATGGTGCTGGGTGCCCAATATGGCAGCTTGGGTCGTTCGTCATCGCACGAACGTCGTAGCAATCCGACTGCATCTCGCAATGCCCTGCCACAAGCCGCTCAGATCCTCGGTCGGGACCCCAAGGCCGTCGTCCCCTCTATTCAACAGCACCCTTACCCTCGACCCAACCAAGCGGTATCAGTGCCGCCGCAATGTCCTCAACTCCCCTCTCCGTCGCCAGCATGTTGAACTCGGAGGACGCGTTCCTCGTGTCAAGGACCTCAATCCTCATGCCGAGTGCACTGATATGTTTCCTCGTCTCGGGGCTCAAAGGTCGGATGGTCGGCCCAACACCGAGCACAAGCAGATCTATGGCCAGAGTCAGCAAAGTGTACTAGCCGTCTAAGCCCCCCGGGGGGGGGGGGGGGGGGGGGGGAAGCAGCAAGCTCACCAGGCCGTGGCCACATCAGCGACAGCACCGCAAACGCCTCCGCCGGCAGCTCAAACTGTCCCTTCTTGTTCACAAGCGTCAGGCTCTCCTCCTCGGACACGCCGGGCTTCCTCTTCGCGAGCCACGGCCGCCAGGCAAACGCCTCGCCGTTAACGAGCAGCGCGCCCGCGCCGTCGAAGATGGAGAGGCCGCTGTTGAGGAGGAAGCCGCGCGGAAGAGTCGCCTCGATGTTGGTTGAGGGGATCGGTGTCGAGCCCAGAACGTCAAAGTCGGCCAGATCGGTGGGCTTTGTCTTCTCGGCGATCGCGGGCGGCTTTTCTTGCTTGGCCTTTGAGGACTGCTGAAGGGGGCGTAGGGTGTGGAAGGCGGGCGCTGCCGTCGTGCGGGCTGCTCTGGGGGAGGGAACAGATGGACGAGCGCGCGGTAGGGCGCGCAAGATGCGCATTGGGTTGGATCTGTTCATACCGTCGAAGGCCTTGAATCGAGGGGAGCACGAGCGAGGGGAAAGTGCTGCAGTGTCGCGGCGAGAGTTGTGCTGTATGGAGGGTGGGTGTGGTGTGGCAGAAAAAGTTGAGTCTCAGAGGTTTGGCGATTTCACAATCGCCAACGTCATGATTACCCCAGGTACGGGGCACGTCGCTGCACCCGAACACTGTGGATGGACCACCACCCTGGGCTGGACATGTACTACGGCAGATAATTGACTTTGACGTTCAAAAGTTGCTTACAGAATTCGGCTGTCATGATTCAGAGCATCACACATCAAATCACAGCCGGCATACGGTCGGATCGTAAATCCGTATCATTGCGGTATCAATCCTGCCTGGAGTGCAGGAGACCGACCAGCCCTCTGCCGGCCGGCGTGCGCATCCCTCGCCGCATCATGCAGTTCCTTTTGCCCTATTGAACACCAAAGCGCAATGAACCAACCCCCCGTGCCATTCCGTGTGCCGAGCGTTGGGTCGAAATGATTTCCGGACCGAAGAGAGACGCAGAAGTTTTTTTACGTGTGGAAGAGGAGAAAAAAAGTGATTTGAGTTGCTTATTTCTTCTTCTCGCTCTGGCCAGCCTCCTTCAGGACCTTCTTGACGATCTTCTGCTCCTCGATCAGGAAGGCGCGGACGACGCGGTCCCTGACGCAGTTACCGCATCGCGAGCCACCGTAGGCGCGCTGGACGGTCTTCTGGGGCTTGGAGATCTGGGAGTACTCGCGGGGGCGGAGGGCGGGGATCTATCGTGGGTGGTTAGCGGAAGGCTCTTTGTCCAATCCTTCTGTCCTCCGCGAAGATAACCGTGTTGTCGACGAGCAGGCGAGGGATTGACCGATGATGGAGTAAGATGCGTTCGCGTTCGTCGAGGCTTATTATGCAGCCGGCGTCCCAGTCGTGTCCATCTTCCTCCCCATCCCATCCATCAATCGGGTCCCTCGGTGCGTGGTCGTCCTCGTCCTCGTCCCTCCCCTCGTACTGGAATCGTGGGATGAACTTACGCCAGGCAGCTTGGTGCCGCAGTCGCCGCACTTGGGGGCAGTGCCGCGCTTCTTGACGTGCAAGACACGGTGGGCGCCACCGGGGGTCTTGATGATTCGAGTCCGGTTGGACCGAGTGTTGTAGCTGCAAATTCCGCGTCAGTCGCCTGTCATTCTTCCTCTCCTCTTGTACAAAGCGTTCGAGCGACGTCGAGGGCGCGAGCATCGTCGAGTGAATGCTCATAGTCCCATGGGAGAGACTCACGGGTTGCGACGGCGATAGGTAACACGCTGGCCCGCCATTTTGTCTGCTGTTGTCGTTAGGGGTTGGTTGAAGGTTCGCAAGATCGGTCGAAGGCGGGACAATTTTCGAGGGTATGTGGAAAATTCGTGTGGGAAGGACAAGCCCGCTTAGGATGCCAATCAGAGAGGGCTGGTGGGGCTTACTGATCTGGTGTGCCTCGACTTTTGTTTGCCCGGAGATCAGCCGATGCAGCAGCCAGCCCCTCGTCGTGGCGGACCCACTGGCACAAGCAAACCCACTATTCGTCGAGAGTCAACCACTCTTAGTCTTCGTGCTTGCTCCAGCATTTTGGTTCTATCTTTTTGTTGCTATAGCTAAAATAATCACTCTATCACGCTGCGTGGTACGGTCCCTGAGGACAAATCAGGGTTCGGGAAGTTCTGGTACAGCCTTGTGCTTCCAAGGGTTGTGATGCATGATAAGCTCTTTCTACACGACTCCTGTCGCCCAAGAACCAAGGCGTGACCGATTAAATAGCATAGTAACGCAGGCTGAAGACAAACGAGGCCTGTGAATTCAAAGGTACATGGTATCTAATGATGCTGTGTCCACCACACCTGAACTCCCCCATGATATATCCCATAAAAGGCCGAATACTGGCCACCCAACCTTCCATGCGCCTATCCGACAAATGATCCGGGCACTTGTCCGCCGGAAGCCCCCGGAGTCTCAAGAACAAAAAAACAAGCAGAAACACGCCTTCAAGACGAGCCAGGAGGCGTCATCCAGTCTGGGTCCTGTTTCCCGTTCCAGGGCTTGATCCCATTTGGTTCCTCTTTTCGCCTCTGGGCCGCATGGTCAAGTATCCTCGTCGTTTTGGCATCTTTTCGCATTTCGGTAAAATCTTGGACCTCACGATGGCCGGCCGTGACGGCGTTGGAGAACGAAGTGAAGAGGGCCTCGGCTACGAAGGGTCAGTATATGCGATGCTGAGAAAACCTGAAGGTGTGGAGGGACATACGACTCTGCTGCTTCTCTTTTAGTGGCTCCAGCATTCGAGGGATGGTTGTCCTGAGCTCCCGGAGCTACTTCACGTCAGCAACGTGTCCTGCCGCCATGGCAATGGATCGCCCCATACCTTGATGTGCAAGAGCTTGAGGTGCTCGAGAGAGTCTTGCAGCTCCTTCTCATCCCATTCTCCCTGTTTGGGGCTACCACCCGGCTTGTCGCCCGCAGCCGGTGGGTTGGCCATGGTGTGGTTGTACAGCTTCGAATTGTCCAAGATGTGAATGTAGGGCGCGGAGCAGGTCCAGCTGAAGAAGAGCTACCGTCACTTGCGAGCTCTGGTATCTCGTGGTGGCGGCTTTGTTGCTTTGTTCGCAAACTGTGCACGAAACGACCAGTCGGGCAAAAGGTGGATTGGATATGTGATGTGCCCACGATGAACCAATAGCCGACGCGAACCTGTATCCGTCACGAAGAACCTAAGCAGCAGTTGCTGTGATTAAGTTTGTTCAAGGGATCAGCGCTGCAACCAAGGGTCACTCGATGATTGCTATGGGGTGGACACTGGTGGCCCTCGGTTCCGGTTCGTACGCTCGTCTCGTTCAGTCGTTTGGGGTCTGAAGACGCAAGAGCCCGTGCCAGCTGGCTCACAGAGGAGCAAGAAAGGCAAACCAGGCAGGTGGAGGGGAGCTCGAGTCGACAAGAGGTTTGGCCTGTGAGGAATCGTTCGTGGTGGTCACCCTTGGGGGGGGATTGGACCAACGAAAGTCAACCCGAAACACCCTTCTCCAAGAGACGCTTACCCAGACAAAGCGCAAATCGGCTTCATCCCCCAGGTTGGAGTAGTGGGGGCGGGCGGGCGTATTCAAGGGTGATGGGTTAATGCCTGGGATTTGGCGGGCGACTGCAGATCACGTGCATCATGGTGCGCTTCAAAAGACATGGCCCGAGCGCCATCAGCCACAGTACTGTTCCTGGATTCACCCACCTGGTTGCTTCTCTTTCACTTAACCTGCACCAACTGTCAAAGCCAATATCAGGTGCCAACAGGCAACAACATACCTTGACGACTTTGAGGATACTCCTCGCATTTTTCATCGACAATCACTGCGTCCCGTCCAGACAAGAAGCAAACAGGACGTGGCTTATCAGAACCGACATACAAGGTACGTACACGGAGCCAAGTCTCTAGCGGCCAGCTGCTGCCAGGATCGTGCCGTGGCGTCAGTGCCCGCGGTAGTGTCGGTGGCCGGATCAACTGACAATCTAGTTCAGGCCGTGCGGATTGGAAAACTCCGACTCCAACATCGTCCCTCCTACCACTGTCCACTATCCACTGTCCACTCACTGCCCACTGTCTTCACGAGCGACCCGAGTCCAAGGTAAGGCGCATGCCCGCGTCGTCCTGATGTGCACGCGTCGCTAACTGTACCTTTGCAGCAAGGTATTTGACTGCAGCTGCCCTCGGCCTTTTGTCCGACCTTGTCTCGTCCTTTGACAACCCAATACCCGTCTCCCCCGAACAACCCCCTCAATACCGCCAAAGTGGATTCCTCCGTCGTCGCGATGCCGAACTCGCCGCCGCCGGCCCTGCTGCCGCCGCCCGAGGGCATCTTTCGCAGCTTCGACGACCTCCTCTCGTCGGTCCAGCGCGTGGCCAAGGACCAAGGCTACGGCGTCGTCAAGTTGCGCGCTTCCAATTACCGCGACGGCAAGCCCACCCGCTACGACCTCGTCTGCGACCGCGGCGGCGTCAAGTACAACAGCACCGCCAAGAAGCGCAACCCCTCGACGCGCAAGGTCGACTGCCCCTGGCGCGCCAAGGCCGTCTGCGAGGTCCAGCTCGGCAACCAGTGGCGGTTCGCTGTCCAGGAGTCGCGACACAACCATGAGCCCCGCGTCGCGACGGCCCTGCCCGGCCAGGAGAACACGCCCCTCGCGCAGAGCATGCGCAGCTTCACCAACAAGATTGATCGCCTGTCGCACGATATGACCGGTAGCTTCATGCGTATCGAACAGGCTCTCGACAACATGAACAAGCGCCTCGAGAACCTCGAGAACCGCATCGGCTCCTACGAGCCCCGCTTCCAAAACATGGAGGGCCGCCTGCAGAACATTGAGGCTCGCAGCGGCGGCATGGACCTTCCCGACATGAACGACGTCGATGCACGACTGCTTCAGGGCGGTGTCATGTAGGACGACGGCCGCGGTGGTTATGTTGATGCATCGGATGACCAGGCCGACCGCGACCTGGCCATGGTGCTCCGCCCCTCGGGCTATGAGCAGCCACCCCTCTAGTCTGGCGCATGATCAACGATGGAGGCAGCGTCTATGCTGCTCTTCCGTGTCGGTCTCTGCTGCGACTCGGCTCTCAGCCGCTTAGCAGAACCCTGGCCACCAGCACCAGTCGATATCGACACACGCGTTGAAAGTTTCTTTTCTTGCGCGGCTGAAAGACGCCATGAGGTCGCCTGTTCAGTCGCGATATGTGGATTGGAGAGGATGGCCGAGTGAGCGCTCGCACAGGCGGGCGGGCGGGACGGATGGACGACGGGTTCTCCTTTGCTTTGCGGGTTTTTTTTCTAACTTCTTTCCTTGGCTCAAGGCGTCAAACACGAGCTGTGACCAGCGGGTCAGGACGGCGTTCCGGATGCTATTCCCCTTCCTGCGGTGGTTTTACGGGGAACGAGGGTACGTTTGTCTGTATATTGATTGATGCGCAGACCATTTTGGTCTGCAGGAATGGCAGTCGAGGCCCTATCTGGTTCTGGTAGGAACTCCATGGACCTATCCATTTTAGGTAGCACAGCCATTGACTGCATGTCTGTTCACGATGCCGCGCCCACGACATGACATGTCTCGTTTTATGCCCCCTCCCAAACTTGGAGCAAGCACTCGTCGTCGGACTCGAGGCACGTCGCAGGGTGCGCCTCTGGCCATCGTCAATCATCATGGGATGCCCAGAATCGGGCGCCCACCCGACTTACACGACACAGTACTGAGAATCCACGCCTCGCACGTCCGCCATCGCACACTGTGACAAACAAACATCGCCCAGACGCCTCCATCCGCGCCTGCAGCTCTCTTCCTTGTCGGAGGTCTCGGGGGTCCATGTCGGCGCGCCCCCCACCCTCCGCGGGTGGACTCGACTCGGCCCCCACCACCCTTGTCTCCCGCCGCTTGCCTCGCCTCTCCCCAGCGTCTGGACTCGAGACCTGGCGATGCGTGTGATGTCCAACGATCGCCACCACCCACCGGGTTGCGGCATCGTGCCCTACGGCCTGGGCCTAATCGACCTGCCGTGCGACCACGTTTGTGGAAGAGAGCCATTGTTCGCCTGTGCAGGATCGATTGAGCACAATCGCTTTGTTTGCATCGCGGATGGCGCAGCTCATCAATGGAGTAGATAGGGCCTCGGATCAAATCACCCTCCACGACAAGAAAGGCGGAAAAGAGGAAAGGGCATCAGCGGCATGTGTCAGAACTCATGTTTGCCGTCCCTTGCTTGATTTCCGCTTGTCGAGCCTCCGATGCGCCTGTGCGGTTGGCCCCCGTAGCAATCATTCGGAGCACCCGCTTTCTTAGCCCCCAAGCCGCACCTGAGGTCAGCCTCAGTCGATGAAGAGGCTCCCAGTCTTCGAGTCACAAACACCACCACTGGAAACCGGCAGTTCAATTTTTGGTATTGATGCACTGGTTCCTCAGAACCCGGTATACATGTACGCACACGGCCGCTTGTCCTAGGCAGTGTGCCATCCTCTCCCCAAAGCCAATCGCATCGGCGACATTTTGATTCCTTTCCCTGATCGTAAAAAGCCGGCAGCCTCGTCGGCAAGCGACATGAATAGAACGCCCCCTTTCCGCACCTTGTTTTGGAACGCCTGACGAAGTCCAGCCCGTCGCTCACATTGAAAACCCATAGCAATAAGATGAAGAAAAAGAGAAAACAAGAATAAAGGAGTTCTGCCCCAGAGACAAAGGGGCAGGAAGGGGACACACAGGCTGAAGCGACAATCACCAAACCCACTCGGCACCCTGCCCGGTGCCCATGCCGCGCATCTGCTGCCCCTTGCCCGTCCTGCCCTCGCCTGTCCTCGCGCGCTCGGCCAAGATGGGTCTCAGCTCTTCAATGACGTCCTCGTCGAAGACGATGCCGTCGGACGCTCTCGACGACGAGCTCGAGCTGGAGCTGTAGGACATCTTGCCCGTGTCGTGCTTTGGGCGCTGGTGGGAGGGGTGTTGGTGCGTGGAGAGCTGCGAGGAGGAGGATTCCTGCGGCGTGTTGTGGAACGAGCGGTGGGATGCGGGGATCGTCGCTGTCGCGGGGAGGCGTGGGGAGGATTTGGGCGAGGTCAGGGTGCGGATGGCCTTCATTGTGTTTGGCTGATACTGAGAAGAGCTTCAATGTGTGTTGTAGTGGTTGAAAGAGTGGCCTTCCGAGAATAAAAAGAATAAAATTGAAATCTCCCGAGAAATGGGAGACGGGCGCAAGTTAACTGTGAGATGAAGAATGGCTTGGTGGTTGCGTTTCGTAGTGGTGTGTCAATGTATTGACATGTGAAGTCGTGGGGTGTGGTGGTTTGATACGTGAATGTCTGCTTCTTCATGCACGCTTCTTCTGCTGCTGTTGCTGCTGCTGTGGCTTCAATGACAAGAGGAATGCCGGCCCTCGCGGATTTTGTATTGGCAGACTGTCTTCTGAGGATCGATCGGAAACTTTACGTGATTTACAAAAAATAGGGCAAAACATGTATTCATAGAAAGAAAGGAAGCACTGACAGAGTCCCATCAAGATGAAGCCGTTTGAGCATCGGCCCAAGATTCCGAGGTTGAGTCACCGCCAAAGATCTCCCACACCTGACTCACTCTCCCGCCCGCCACACACGCCATGGCAGCAGATCAGCCCACGGGCACATGATAATAGTCCCCCCGCCGCGGCCGCGGCGCATAGCCATGAAGAAAGTGATGCATCACTATACCAGGCAACGCTGCAGAATACAAAGCACGCGTCATGTCTCTGATGTCTCGACAGCGGGCCTCCTACAACCTGGTTTCGCATTGGAACGTCCGATCCAGAATGCCAGATCGAAAAGGCTAAAATTGGCTGCTACGCGCGCACGTACGTAGGTACTCGCATACGTCAGGCTCTAAAACAACCCGACCCAGAAAATGCTTTGAAAATGAAACGCCAAAAGTGCCTTGTCATGATTCGCTCGCTGGGAGGCTTCTGGCTATTTATCTCAATGTTTAGATCGCCGCCAACTCGCGCATATGCTGTTCCATCCAATGCTGTGGCACCTCGCCCGCCGCGGCCGCCGCCTCTGCGGGCCTACCCGAAACGGCATCCATGGCCGCGAGGTCGTTCCTGTTCACCTTGCCGAGCTTGGACTTGAGCTCTTCGGTAATGGGTGCGACGTCGAGGTCGAGCCAGTCACGCAGGAACTTGCCAACGTCCGTGTTCTCGACGTTCCCGCGGATTTTTTCCGTGTCGCGCCCGCCCGAGCTGTAAATGTTGACATCGACGGCCGTATGTCCGTGCGTGCTCCAGCCCACGTGCGCACGCAGGCTGATGATGGCGGCGAAGGTGGTGATGGCGGCAAGAGGCGCCTCAACGAGAGCGTCGAGCTCTTCAGGGTGCACGTCTGTGATGCCGAGACCGCCGTAGATGAGCGTCTCGTTGACCCAGCTCCTCAGCTTTCCCTTGTGCTCGCCCGGGTTCTCGGCAACGTGCTTGGCAAGCTGCAGGGACAGGAACTCGGACGAAGCATTCGCCTTGGCAAGGGCGCGGGGGAACCAGTTGTAGACAGGAAGGTGTCCAGGCTCCTCTGTAGAGTTGTCAGTCACGAGTCGCGGCATGCAGCATCAAACAGCAAGACAAGAGCACATACGTAGAGCAGTGCCGAGACCACCCGTCTCGTGATCGCTCGTGGCCACCAGAATTGTTTCCGTTTCACTCTTCTCGATAAAGTCAAGCACAGCCTGGAAGGCAGCATCGTACTGCAGAACTTCGTGGACCTGAGCCGCGGGATCGTTAATGTGTCCGGCGTGGTCAATCCTGCTGCCTTCAATCATGAGGAAGAAGCCGTGGTCGCTGTGCTCCGTCTCTTTCTCCAGCGCGCGGAGCGCAGTGTGGGTCATCTCGGTCAGGCTGGGGTAAATGTGGTCGAGGTTGCGGCGGTCAATCTCAAAGGGAACGTTGTAGTGGGCAAACAAGCCAAGGGCCGGCAGCTGAACGTTCTCGCCAAGCTTGAGGGCGTCGAATCCCGCTCGGTCGCTCGCGTATGTCCAGTTGTACTGTTCTTGTGCAATCTTGACGACATCGGTTTCGTCCAGGCGACAGCTGTCGGCGGTGCCGTTGGGCAGGAAATGGCAGCGGCCACCGCCGAGCATCAGGTCGACAACGCGTCCAAGGGGCCCATCGCCAACCTCCTGCAGGGCAATGTCATCATTCATGGCACGGGTCAGAACATGGCTGGCGAAGCAGGCAGGCGTGGCGTCGGTGATGTCGGTGGTCACAACCAGCCCTGTCGCATAGCCGGCCCTCTTGGCAGCCTCGAGAACGGTGCCGCAGGGCTCGTACTCGGGCGTGATGGAGATGGCGCCGTTGTAGCTCTTCTTGCCGCACGAAAAGGCCGTGGCGCCAGCGGCGCTGTCGGTAACAAGCGAGTTGGAGGAGCGCGTGCGGCTGGTGCCCCAGAAGTGCTTGTCGAGCGTCAGAGTGTCATCCTCGGGAAGACCCTCGACGTGCTGGCGGAAGCTTCGCGTCAGGGACAAGGAAGCAGGGCCCATGCCGTCGGAGACCATGAAGATGAGGTTTCGCTTCTCTGGCGTCGGACCAGTTCCATGTCCCGTCTGGCGGTTATGCTGGCTCCACACCGCAAGGACGATCACGGCAGCGGTCGCTAACAGGGCCCAGACGAAGAGGAGAACCTCACGCAGTCGGTTCGATCCGCCTGACGAAGGGGAGTGGCCGTTATCGGAGTTGGACTCGGAGTCATCGTTGATGTTCTCACGACGTTCCGTGTCGTCGAGGAGGGGGGTTCGGTCGTTTGCTGCTGCTTGAGCGGCCTAGAAATGGGTGTGTCAGTTCCGCAGACATCAACAGGAGGGATTTTGCTGCCATACCATCTTGTGTTGCGCAGTGCAATCCAGATCCAGATGCACAGCTTGACGATGGGTGTAGGAGGAAGCAACAAGTCCTGGTGAAGCTTCCGAAGCTAAAGCCTCCAGATAAGGGTCACGCAGTGCTACATAGTACCTCCGCCAGCGTCAGCAGGTCCCTGGAATGGGGGCGCCTGGGGCTGTTTGGGAGGGTTCATTGGCACGAGCTTGCCCTGGCTTGCGGCAGTGTGACACGCCAACGACGTCACCCCCCAGGGTACGTGCCTGGCCCTCACCTTATCAGAGCACAGGCTCAGCGGGGGTGCAGACTTGGGGGTTCTACAGGGGTCTGCGTCTGTTCTGGTAGGTAGGGTACCTAGGTACTTGAGGTAGGGACCCAGGCAAGCCAGGTATATGTAAGGTACCTCAAGTTCCTTGCTTCCTTGATGCCAATTGACCCTTGGAGCAGGTCAGCTGGGTCATCTTTGAGTATATGTAGTCCGCAACATCGGCTCGTGATGGTGGCATGGCTCAATCAAATCACGTGCGACAGGGATGCTAAGACTATTGTTGCCGTCGTGCAGCAAGCAATCCAATTTGAGCGAATCTGAACATACTATGTAGGTGACATTGATTCAGAGCATTTGTCACAATGTCACCTTGGCACTCACCGATCCCAGTTCCTCGTCTGCCGGCCAGAACCTCCTCACAATGGTCTGATCCCAACCACGGATCTTCCTGTCTGTCATGTAGACAGGAAGATTAATCACTTTACCCCTCTTACACCTCGCATGGCAGTCTTGGGGCGAGCATGCGCCACCTCTGCAAGCGGAAGTCACGGCGGAGAAAATGCCGAGAAGCCAGCGTCGTATCAAGTTAGAGCTCGGCAGCTGTGAACTGCCAAGAATTGCATCTCTGCGATCAAGCCTTGGAAATCCACTGACGGACGAGGTTATATACTCTCTGAGCCACCACCACAGCGGGATCCCTCACCATGCTAACAAGGCTGCCTGGTGACGCACTTGCGAATAAGGCTAGGCTGGCTTGTGCTTGCCCATGATTCGCCCCTTGGCCGGCAACGTGTCACAGCTAGATGCCGATGTTGCGTTGCACCATCTCGAGCAATACCCGAATGCGTTTAGATTTGGCTGCTGGCTCACTATCCCAGTCTTTACATTATCAAATAAGGGCGGGGGCCCAACCCAAGAGTAGTTTAAGGTTCACGACCTTGTCTTTGACCGCGCGGTACCCCAATCGAGCACAACGCAAAGCTGCGGAACGGCCTCGGAAACTCCAAGCTACAGCATAATCCTCGGCATCGCTCAAATTGACCTGGCTGGAGCAAACACTACCAAGGGTCACACTCGGTGCAATGTGGCTTCTCGGGGATATTGCTGTGAGAGCCAACGGGAAGCTCGAGGGAGCTCTATAAAACAGAGACGTCCATGAGGGCGCTTGATCTTCTGAAGATCTGAAGCTTTCTCTCATGCAGCTTCTCGGAATTCGTCTGATTATCGAGTCATACTTTCCCCTTCTATGATATCCATCATGGTTGCTCCAAGCTGTGGTCTGCTTATCTTGGCAGCAACTACCAATGTCTTTGCTTACGATAATCTGTTCGCTTTTGACAGTGTACCCGAAATTGAGAACAGGACCCTCGAAGAGATACACAAAGCTGCCCTTTCCGAAGGTGGAATCGTCACCTGCTGGCATGGAGGCGATGAGCCAAACCAGCAAGGCTTTTTAAAGCGATTATTTGAAGAACGATTCCCCGGCATGACGCTCAACATTACCGTCGATCTATCAAAGTACCACGACGGCCGACTTGACGAGCAGCCCGCCAACAGCAACGTTCATGTCGACAGCGTTATCCTCCAGACACTCCATGACTTTCCCCGCTGGGAAAACCAAGGCGCGCTCCTCAACTACGCTCCACTCGGCTTCGATGCGATTGACGGCGCGTACAAGAACGCCGCGACGGCGGCTTACTACGGTGTCTACCACCTTGCCTGGCAGTTGTTCTGGAGCCCCCCCAAGCTGCCCAACATTACAATCAGAGAATTCGACGACTTTCTGAGGCCCGAACTGAAGAACAAGATTGTGCTGACCTATCCGAATGACGACGACGCTGTCTTGTTTGCCTTTGACCTCATGTAAGTCGCACACCTGCCCTGGTAACATGCTCTCCATGCCAATAAAAGAATCGTGGGGTCTGACATTGAAACCACAGCCTACAAAGGCACGGCATCGAGTGGCTGGATGCCCTTCTCGCCCAGAACCCCCGCTGGGTCCGCGGCACCGGGACCGCCGTCACCCTGATCCTGACCCCGAATCGCACCGAGGCGGCAACCTTCACGAGCTTCACTGGCTTCGCCCCCATTCCAGGCTCCAACTACTCGTTTCCCACCCAGACCCAGTTTGTCACGTGGCCGCAGACCGCCGCCATCCTCAAGGACGCGCCCCACCCCGAGGGTGCCAAGCTACTGCACTCCTTTGTGCTGTCGCCCGAGTTCCAGCAGATGAGGGGCTGGCCTGTTCGCCATGATGTGCCGGTGGCGGACAACTTCTCGCAGCTGCCGCTGAAGGATATCCCGTCGACAAACCCTGCGGCTTTTGGTCGATTCATGGCGGACCGCGGGAGGGTTGAGAGGCTGCGCTTCTTCCTTGAGGATCGTATCGGATCTGCTCAGGGTCTGAGTCCGCTTGTTGACGACTTCTGAACTTGATGAACCTCCTTGGTTGGTGGGAGACTTTCGAAGGTCGCTTAGGTACCAGGTTTGCACTTTAGGTAAGGTTAAGACCAATACAGCTAAATGGTTTCGCATTGAATACATATTCTGCTATCTACACTCATTGCTGCGTTTGTTCGAATCCTCAGTGTCTGATATCCATCAGCAGAACCATTAAACGACCCCAACCCCTGCTGCCGATCATATAGCCATGTGAGACCATTCCCCACGAAAAGGATAGATTGATTCTCTGTTGATCCTCACAGACGTAAAGCCATTTGTTCACGCATCTCACCAAGGTAGGTAGTTAAGAATTATGCTGCAAGTTAGTATCATCCGGCCGGTGGCACGGAAGCATAGACTTCAGCGTTGTCATGGGTTGATACATGCTCAGATTGACTCGACGCCCTCAGTTCATGTAACTCCAAGTATCAGTATCTTTCAAAGTTCTTTCAGAGAAAAGGCCAGCTTATGCTAAGCAGGACATGATCGGGCTATAGCTCTGACATAATAACAACGTATGACATGATTGATAGAACGGAGTTCCTCGGTAGAGTAATGCCCTTGAATCATGTGTCGCAGTTGATAGGGTAGTTGATATAGTCTTTGGTCGTCGGAGCTCTTCGGGCATCTTACAGAGTGTTGGGGCCGTTCTTATCCCCGTCATCACGGCAAAAATATTTCTATTAACGCAGAAAGAACCGACCTAAACCCTACGGCCTGGCCTCATTATGCTGAACAGACCCCGAGATTCTGAGTTCAAAGATATGCCAAGCACGGTTGCTGGCACCGAGGTGGGTTATGGCGCATGTTGGAACACGCCATTCAGCACTTCGCTTAGAAAGGCCGCGCCGTGGTGTTTTGCATATGCCAATCCGCGAGTTCAAGTACAGAGAAATAGCCACGGAAAGATTTGGTAGCTGACGACGCTCTTTGCCGAGTTCCGGCCTGGGCTGGCGTGAAAGCGGAGCTCCGTGTCCCGCAACTCCGGCTCGGTCCATGACTTCTGCATATAGAAGTTTATCAGATTCAACTTGTCGAAAAGTCTAATCAGATTGATCTTCTTACTCTTTGTCAGTTCTCTCACACTCTAGCCACTACTCTCCCAGAGAATGGAGGAAGCGAAGAGTATGCCAAATGCCAGTGTCACGACGGTGCCCCCGAGTCAGGGGCTTGAGCGTGGACCTGAACAGGCTAAGCGCCCCTCTGGTCAGCCCTTTCACTGCACAATCCAGCCCTAGAGCGGCGCTGACCTTCCCCAGATGAAAGCAGTGCTCCCAGTGAAGACGTGCTGTTCACTGCTGGCATTGGCCTCGAGAAGGATGACCCAACACTTCCTTGCCTGACCATTCGCATGTGGGTCATTGGGATCGTCTTTTGCCTTCTCGGGAGCGGTCTGAATACTCTGTACACTTTCCGTTTCCCCTCGATTTCACTCTCACAATCGGCAATTCAATTTTTTGGCGTTCCCTGTAGGAAAAGCCTGGGAGTTTTTTATCCCAGACTGGGGTATCACTGTTTTCGGGCACCACATATCCCTCAATCCTGGACCTTTCAATTACAAGGTATTTCAGGATTCAGGTACTTATGGGCAGTATTGCTAATGGATTAAAGGAAAAAATTCTCATTTATATCCTTGCAAATCTCAGCTTCCTCACTCGATTGAGCGCAGATGTCCTCACTGAGCAGCGTGTCTTCTATGGCCTCAAAGCAGGATGGGGCTTCGAGCTGACCATGACGCTTGCCACCATTCTTTTCGGCTTCAGTCTAGCCGGCATATTTCGTTCGCTCGTCGTGGAGCCAGCCAGCCTTGTGTGGCCCGGAGTTCTTGGTAATACTGCCCTGAACCATACCCTCCATTCCAGAAAGAACACACTGGACCTAGAGTTCGTCGCCGCTATCTACGACTAGATATCAACACTGACATGATGGTATTCAAAGCACCAAGTTCAAGATGTCTCGCTACCAATTTTTCATGATTGTCTTTTGCGGATCTTTTTGCAGGTATTGGTTTCCAGACTTCATCTTTCCAGCTCTGGGCTACTTCACTTTGATCTGTTGGGCTGCACCGAACAACGCTGTAGTTAACCAGATTTCTGGCATGAAGAGTGGACTAGGTATCTTGCCTGTCACCTTTGACTGTAAGCCCTACCCCTCAATACTTCAGCGGAACTGTTATTGAGTGTGTCGCAGGGAGTCAGATTGCCTACATTGGATCTCCTCTGGTTGTGCCTACCTGGGCGATTCTCAATGTCCTGGCATCGCTCATCTTCTGGATCTATGCCGTTTCGCCTGCAATATACTACAGCAACACGTGGTCTTCTGCCTACCTCCCCATCCAAAGTGACTCTGTGTACGACAACACCGGCGCTGTATACAATGTCTCTCGCGTTATCGACAAGAATCTCGGCTTTAGTTTCAACAGTACCAAGTTTGATGAGTATTCATAGTTCGGTCAAGCCGCCAGCTCCTGCGTCGAAGTGCATTGAACTAACCCCTTTCCAGATCTACCTGCCTGTCACGTACGCGCTCAACACGTTCGGACTCTCGTTTGCTACAATATCGTCACTGTTAATTTGGCTGTATTTGGAGCGACGCCACAGCATCATCGCCATATTCCAGGCGTCTTCATTGTCCTCATTATTTAAGCGCGGTCCGATACCGAGCTGGAACCTCCAGCCGGCTTATAAGACTGTTCCCGCATGGTGGTATGTAGTGTCGATGCTGCTATCTCTTGGTCTGGGTCTGTCCTCCTGCGAGTACTATCCCGTACAGTTAAGGTGGCATGGGGTCTTGCTTGCCCTGGTAATATGCGCGGTCTTCTTCGTCGCAGTAAGTTCACTTCAGAAAACTGAAAGGGTCCCCTGAGATCGCGCTGACATGCCAAGCTTGCTCTGGTATATGCCACAGCCAATGTCAAAATCCAAATTGATATTTTCTGTCGTATAGTTGCCGGCTATGTCTACGAAGGAAAAGTGCTCGCTAACATATGGTTCTTCAATGTGGGATACATATCGGGCATCAAGGGCCTCGCCTTCGCTCAGGACCTCAAGCTCGGGCTCTACTGCAACATTCCGCCACGCAAGCTCTTCCTAGTGCAAGCTGTCGGCATCGTCATGGGCACTCTCGGCCAGGTCTCAACATTGAACTGGGCTCTGGAGCAAATCCCTCATATTTGCACCGATGCAGCCCCCAACGGCTTCACGTGTCCGTTTTCACGCACCCACTTCAACACAAGTATGGTCTGGGGAGCCCTCGGTCCGCGTCGATTCTTCGCACCAGGGGCCCACTACAGGCAGTTGCTATGGATGTTTCTACTGGGTGCCCTGCTGCCTATTGCTGTGTGGGCATTGAAGAAGTATCTATTTCCTCACACGCGCTGGCTACGGAAGATTCATGTCCCAGTGTTTCTGGGGGGACTGAATTATATCCCGCCAGCTTCAGGCACCAATTATGGAAGCTGGGCCATCGTCGGACTGGTATTTGGGCTTTGGCTCAAGAGGAGAGAGAGAGACTGGTGGAGGCGATACAACTTCGTGCTGAGCTCGGCACTGGACTGCTCAGTCGCCATCGCAGGAGTGATAATCTTCTTCGCCGTCTTTTACACTGGTGCAGCAAATAACTTTGCGTAGTGGGGAACAGACGTGTACAAGGTACTTTTACATCGACCATTCCAAAGAGCAGATCTTACTTTGCTAATGCACTCCAGGACACTTGCGACTGGAAAGGGTGCAGATACAAGACGATACACAAGGGTAGTACATTTGGAACATGAATGCGCATACCACCGTTTTCAAGCACATACGACCATACCTACTGGAGAACTCGGGATCCCGTCCGCTCTCCCATAGATAAGCCAGTAAGGGTCGGACTAGTAGTTGGGTGGGTGACCACCAGCGAATCCCTGATGTTGTATGTTTTTGATTTTTGACCTGTTGACATTTTTTGTAATGAATGTGTCTGAAACTTTTGTCGCTACTCATGGTGGTGACGGTCGTTACCAATGAACGAATCGTAGTGGTTCGGGCGTTTGGAATGCAGATCTTGCGTGCTGGACGCTGCTTCCATGTGGCTGGTGTGCGTTTCGCCCTGTCACCCAAAACCCAACCACTGATATCTGTGTTCTGAAGGTCTGGACAACTTTCTTTTGATCACCCTTGATTGGTATAAGCGTTTTCCTTCTCCGTCACTGCCGACTGTCTCAAAACAGAGTGAGCAATTTGCACAGTCCGGCTCATAGCTGTTGCGCTCACTGCGTAGCCGGACATGATTACAATAGGAGGTGGCTGCACGCTGATCAACAGTGCGGACGGGTATTACAGGGCCTGGTTTTTTTGGCTGGCTAGCTCATTCAGGCGAAGGTCACTGATGGCTGACGTGCCGTGTTACTTGTGTCTGCCCAGACACAAACCCACTAGTACCATCACCAGCCATATGCTGGTGAAAATGAGAACTCAGGGCATGCAGCACGAATAATATCTCGCATGTTGACAACATTTCCGGAAGATGCAAGAGGTTGTCTCCATTTTCAATTTTTTTCACACTGCTTGCCCACACTAAGAGTCCTACCACTGCCCTCTAGCTGCAACATACGTGCTTTCTTTGCATCAACTTCAGGGCCCCCTGTGATGCACTGTAGCTGAGCGAGGCCTACTGATGCCAGGGATCATATCTGTCGGCTCATATACGGTACGTGGAAGACTGCCACACCCGTTTGGCTTTCAATTTGTTATTTTCACTTCTCCATATCACCCAGATTCCACTCTGCACTGTCAAAAATGACGCTGAAACCGCCGGCATTAATTTTACAGGAAACCTTAGGCACTGTCCTCTCCTACAAGAGCACCAAAGCCCTCGATCAGACACCACTGTTTGGCGTGGCCCTTGGTGTCATCCTCACGAGCAACTTCCTCCAACTTGACTTCCTCTAGTCCGGTGACACCCAAAAGTCTCATATAGACTGGAAGAATGTTGATCAGGCGAATTCTCCTCCTACCAGCTGCTTGCTTCTTGTCGTCCTCAGTCTCGCTGAGGCCCTCGGTCAAGGGAGCAACAACCTTGACCCAATGATGAGAAGCAATGCGACACCTTTCTTCGAGCGTCATCATATCAAGCTCATCGTCACAAGGAACATCTGAGAGGTGATTCAGAGTCTCTTCATCCAGAAAGATGAAGAATTTGCTGCGCAGGTTTGGATGATTATCGCGCGCCATAGCTCCAGACTCGCGATAGAATATGCGTGCCTGTTCGACATCACCTCCATCGAGCACGGTCTGGTCTTCGATTAAGGTGTTGTGAAACCGGTATTTGAACTCTTCGCTTAGGATCTGGTCCGTCTTCAGAAATCTTGGCGGACCTCGCAGCCGGACCTCGCGGGCGGCTTCTTGCCAGTGAGTCTCGAGAGTCTGCTGGTCCACTTCTGTTTCGCGAACCAACCTTCGTCGGGCTGCAGGCACATTCTCACCAGGAGAATCCAGGTGTGGCGCTTCTTCGTCATGGTCAACCGAGACGAGTGTCAGCCGGCGAATGGCCGCAACGGCACGTTTGAAGCGCGCATCATCGCCCTCTCTATACGTGGCACGCACGATGGTCGAGCCCCAGCAGTTTTGTGGCTTGCAGTCTGCACAGTAGACGAGACTGTCGTTGATTGTTGCAAAATATTGCCGAATCCTTCGGCCTGGCTTCAAAGGGCCTGTCTTCTCCCCATGCGGCTGCAGTAGATGGCGAAAGACAGCAAAGGACGACTCGGGAGCAGGCGGTCTGGCCAGGTCGGCCTCCGCCCTTTTCCTGGCGCGGTTCTCTCTCCAGATGCGAAGATCCTCAAGAAATGCTGGCGTGTCAGGCCTGTATGGCTGTTGTGGTACGGTTTTCCTCTCCTTGTAGCCGTAAAGCTCGGTGAGCCAGTCATGAATCATAGGCGGCGTCTCGCATGATATGCCCGAGATGAAGCACCAAGCCTTCGTCTCGTCCTGAGGGTTCGCATACCGGGTGCAGTCGGCTCCTTCATTGAGAATTTCGTCGAACGAGTAGTCCCCCGAAGCAAGATAAAGCGATAGGAGGCAGAGGAGACGGATGCGCCTCTGTCGGTTCCTACGTCCCTGGCTGTCCTCGACTTCCAGGAACGCCTCCCTGTCTTCATCACCGCTCTCATCGTCATCGTTTTCCGGAGCCATCGGCTCCACGATCTTGACCCAGTGATTCCATGCGATGCGGCAGCGCTCATCGATGGTCATCCTAGCCAGTGCCTGATCGTCAGGAGCGCTGGCTAGGTGGTCAATTGCCTCATCGTCAAGGTACATGAAGAAAGCCGAGCGGGCGCCCGACTCGCGCTCCTCCCAGCCATTGGCCTGAAAGTACTCCTCGGCCTTTTCAGGCTCTGCATGATCGAGCAGGTCCTTATCCTGGATGACCGTGGTATGGAACCGGTACTTGAATTCCTCGCTCACAACCTTGTCCGTTGTGAGTGTCTCTGTCGGGTCAAACTGCCGGGCTTGCACGTCGTTAAGAAGCTGCAACCAATTCATCTCGTTGGGTCTGTCAGCCAACACGCGGCCTTCATCGAGCCCCTCCACAGGCTCTGCCGCGAGTTTCGCCCGCTTGACGCCAGGCGAAGCCTCTTCGCCTCGAGGTAGGGACTCGTCATAGTCGACAGTGACAAGAGCCAGGCGGCGGATCGCGGCCACGGCGCGCTCGAATTTCTCGTCGTCTTCGTACGAGGCACGCACGACCGTCGAGCCCCAGCAGTTCTGCGGCGCGCATCCAGAGCAGCGACAAGCGCGTTCGTCCAGGGTGCGACAGACGCTGTAGATTTGACGGCGGGGGTTTCCGGGGCCGGGGCCACTCCAGTGAGCAGCGGGCGCGTGGTGCAAGACGCGAAAAGATGAGCCGTATTTGAGGGGCAAGCGGGACCGTAGCGCACCACGCAACGGCTGCCCATACAAGTCGCGCGGTATGTCGACCGGCTCTCTGGAGTTGTCGAATTCGGTGGTATACATATCGTGGCGGGCTGCTTCTCTCTCAGTCATGATTTCGTCGGCAACAAGCCTGAGCAATGCCTGTGCGATGGTGCTATGTTCGGGTTTGAGGAAACGTTGCAGATAACGAGCGGCTGCCAGCCCTCGCGCTACGTCGGTTCAAAAACAAGACCAGAGTCAAGGGCATGGATTGGTCACCTTGCTGATTATGTCAAGCGAGCTTGGCGGAATTGCTTGCCTCTTGCGAGGAGCAAAGCTGCGGGTGAGTTGAATTGATGTTCATCCGCTGCGGTAAACTCTCTATACACGGATTGCCAGCCAGGAACACCAGCATGATATCTGGTACTAGGCAAGTGCTTGGTGTGCTACAGTGTATGTGGCCGATTTTCGTTTCGTGGGTAAGTGTTACATTAGCGATATCCTCCTGTGCAGGTTGAACAGGACTATAATCGGTGATGGTGGCCTAAGACTGGCATGTCTGGGCAACTAACTACCTGTTCACACAACTATGAACGTAAAACAAGTGCGCCTGAGTTACAGAATGGCTTGGATGGATACCATATCAACGTATATTTCCTTCTTGGGCTCTTCCTGCGCTGGAGGTTTAGTGGCCTCCGCCCAAGAGCAAAGCGATCAGTCGGAGATTGATCATAGTTCTTCAGCCACCGGGAACGTTTGGCTTGACTGTCCCTCTGACAGCGGGCGTTTTCCAAATGTAACAGCGACAGACCCGCTGCGTGCCAGGACATGTTCGTTCTTATCAACGGCTTCGGCAAAGATCCTGTAGCCTTCCTCTGAAGAGGGCCTCTTCACTTTGATATGCGTCTCGAATCCGTGACGATTGGAGTCTCCCAAGAAGCGCTTACGCGCAACGTCTGCCCTGAGCTCCTCTGCATAGAACCGCCAAAGTGTAGTCTCGGTGTCGCCATTCCAGGAAACATAGATATCCACGTCGTCGGAAGCCTCGCTTCCCAGGGCTACGACTGCTGGTTCTTCGATAGGCCTCCCGGTCCAAGGAAGCTTAAAACCACGGTAGCTTTGCACGCTGTGGCCTCCAGGTTCTGAATCGAGATACGCATGAAACAGAACGGTACCATTAGCAGCAAACTCCGTGACAGCACCTGCCTGCCCCCAGTTGACGAAAACGTTGCTGTTGGGCAAGACTTGCGTGTTGCCCTGCGTCTGAGCCGAAAGCTGGTCTGGTGCCGGATACGTAGCTGCTGCCTTGACAGTCCCATCTGTGTGGTTAAGCTGCAGGATGCGGCCCCGTGAGAAGGGGTTGATCTTGATTGTCGGTGAGTGAGCCGAGTTGTCGAAGAGGGATAGATATTCAATTGCCCCATCAGAGGATCGGTTCAAGAATCTGGCGTCATGCTGATAGGCGAAGCGAGCGGCAGGGGCAATCTCAAAAGACGAGCCGCCATGTAGGCCGCCAAGCTGCCAGATGACTTTGCCTGTAGCACCGCTGACCTTGAAAAGAGCTGCATAGTTGCGTGCTGAGATAAGGTAGTTTCCTTCGTCGTCCTTGTCGACACTGTTTAGGTGGAAGTAGTCCCAGGCGTCGGATGAACTGCGGCCACTCCCGATAGCCCTGTCCAGGTGGTCTACGGGAAAGGCGCTGTCTTGATTCGATGTCAGCGGAAGAGACTGAGTTTATTGGGAGACTCATGACACAAACACTTGGGGTCCACATGGTCTAGGGCTTCCCATTCGAAGAGCACCTGACCTGTCTCAATATCCAGCTCTGTGTTCTTCCAGTCAGCATATCATCATAGTCGCCCGAAGTGACAAGAGCATGCCTTGGAATCCTGAAGACACGATCCAGTCTTGGCCCTCCTTCCCACCCCAGCGAGAAAGATCGAAAGGTTTGGTGAAAGGCACCTCCACTAAAGCAGATTTGCCATTGATGACACGAAATTCGTGTCCAGAAATCAGCTGAGGTGATCTGGACTGCACTGATTTGACGGTCTCATACTTTTCGTTCAGAATGAGGTGATGGCCATGCATGATGCCAAGCTGGGCCGACATTTGCCCTTCGAACGCGCGAAGCACCTGGGACCCGTCCACAGTGTCGGGACGAAAGTTCGCGGCCCAGCCGGCAATGTGTCCAAGGCCTGACCACACGAGCTCTCCGTCGTCGCGATAAATGTACGGTGCCGGTTGAATGGGGCCATGACTGGTCGGCGTGAAGCCTGGATATGGCGCAACAAAGATGAGACCCTTCTCGACAAGGGCAGGGTCTGCTGAGACGGTGATATTGAGACGAGGTGGGGTGAGGTCTGGCCGTGATCGAAACTGCCAATCCGCAGACACACTAGGCGCCAGGGCAGCTGTCACAACAAGGAAATCTTGGACTCTCATGGTCGCTTTACGTTATGCCGATAATGAGATACTGAGGAAAGCAGCATCCATTCGTTGAGCCTAAGACCTCATCCTACCTTAGATAGGTACCTTATGCAGTACTGTCAGCTTTATAATAACTCCGTCGGTGGATGGCGTCGAGATAAGATGCAATCACGCCATAAATGGAGATTCCGCGCAGAGGTCTTAGCCGCCGCCACGGGTACAGCTTGAATCACATCAACCCCTTGAGCCATAGCACTTAGGTGAATTGCCTCTAATAGGAATCAAAAAGTTGAAAATCAAAAACATACAACATCAGGGATTCGCTGGTGGTCACCCACCCAACTACTAGTCAGACCCTTACTGGCTTATCTATGGGAGAGCGGACGGGATCCCGAGTTCTCCAGTAGGTATGGTCGTATGTGAGAACTTGAGGGTATCCTGGCGTACATGTTCGCTGGGTTGTTGTGAAGAATCTGAGGTTTAGTGAGGCTCCAGCTGAAAGGAATGAAGCCGATTGCACCCCGCCATATGTGCTTACATAGCTCTTCCGACCCCGCCAAAGTTTCCCGCGGCCAACTGATGCTCGCTAAAGCCTCCGCGGGATACTCCAACGACATTCATCATTTTCGCCTTCTGTCACCACAAATCAATTGAGTATCAACTACATGAAATCTTGTGTACACAGAGACTGTCATCCCGGAAAGTGACATGAGTTCTACTCGTTCATATCGATCTCACTCTCAGCCGGCTTGCACACAATGTCGCAGACGCAAGTCTCGATGTACTGTCAACAGCCGTTCCGCGGTATGTCTGATGTGTCAGGCCCACGCAACTGAGTGCGACTTCCCCGCGGCTTCGAAAGGGCATGCGAAATCCATAACAAAGGCCAAACAGGGATCAAGACGATCTTTGCTATCAGTAAATCAAAATGCTACAAGGCTCAACAAAACTCCCCCAGAGAAGCAACTCAGTACGGGCATTGCGACAGACTACTGTTCACCCGAAACGCGCCATACCGTTGTCTCAGGACCGACTCATGCGGACATACCGATACCTCTCCATCAAGATGAGCTTGATGACAGCCCTCACATCGTTGGCCCGGCTGTCACCAGCGACAGTCACGTATTGGCTGATTACTTGAGTACTGTTCGCCATGGCTCGCGTTCAACGCCCATGGTTCGCCCCATGCTCGGCGGTGATGCTGAGCCCGTTATCTTCACCCGCGTTCAGCCACGCCCATTGGGAATGACTGTTGACCCAACACCTCCATCACTGCAACTTCAGATGCTGGAAAAGCTGCTTGAACCGTGGACCGACAGATTAGTCGACTTGTAAGTGCTCAATTACCTCTTTCGGGAAGTCAAGCCAGCTAACGTGTTTCTAGGTATCTGTCAAAGGCCAACGTCTGTTTTCCTCTCCTAGATGAGGACTCTTTCCGTGACCAATACCGAAGCGCTAGAGACCGCATCTCTCCGGCCGTGCTGGCCTGCCTCTACGCCAACAGCCTGACATACTGGAAGTTCGATCCAACACTATCACCTGAGCGATGTCCTGACCAACGCTTCGCCTGGAATCTGGCCTGCCAAGTTCTGTACTCCGAGCTGCGTCACTCACCAGGCATATCCAGCATTGCCGCCAGCTTGCTCAACGTCGGAGGACGGCCCACCACTTCAATGCTCGGCAACGGCGTTCAACTTGGAGCAGCTATCTCACTATCTCATTCACTGGGTCTCAACCGGAATCCACTGCCATGGCACATTCCGCAGTCCGAAAAGTTTCTTCGGATGAAGATTTGGTGGTGCCTCTTGATTCACGACAGATGGTCGAGCTTAGCCTACGGTACTCCTCCGCGCCTGCGCAGCGACCAGAGTGATGTTCCTTTACCTACCGTTGAATATCTAAGCGCGAATGGCCAAACTTCAACAAAAACTCAGGCTTCAGCTGTGTTTGTTGCCCTTGTAGGCCTGACTCAGCTGCTGGAGGTCTTCCTTGACAACGTTTACCGGATCAAGCTCTCGCCCTCCGATCTTCCTGTGGATGACCTTGAAGCGCGGCTAGGTCATTGGGTAGACACTCTCAAAGGAGATACCAGGAAGGTTATTCTCCGAGGCACCCACTTGGACAGCCCTGGAGCTTCGAATCTGAGGCTAGCATATTTATCAACCAAATTGCTCCTCCGACGCATTGAACTGAATCACGACAAGCAAGCAGCTGACGCTCAAGCGCCGAAGATCGACCGTCGCTATTCAGAAGTCCGCCACACTGCTGAAGAAATCGTTTCTCTCGTGCAGGAACTCGAGGACACCCAGCTCGGCGACTTTTGGTTGCCCGTCGCAGCTTTCACCTTCTCGCATACTGTCACCTTTCTGATTCGCTGTGCTCTCGAAACGGAAGACGACCCCCTGAGCCTCTCTCAGAGTCCATCCTTGCATCTGGCGAAAGAACTCTTGGATGCGCTTCGTCAGCATCAAGATCGTCATGGGTGGGATCTTGCTGATATCAGTCTTGCGCAGCACACGGAGGTAGTGGACAAGCTGTTGACACCTGATCCGGCTGACGATGTGCTGCCGAGCACGTTTCTTGAGACGCAGCAGCAGCTCATGCCGGAGTTCCCGTTCATGGAGGACATGTTCTCGTACACAAATTTGGACTTCCTACAAAGTTAAGCTGGGTTTCGGACCACACAACTCGCGATCAGCCACTTCTTCCCATCAGCCAACAGCGTTCGGCTAAGCAGAAAGCTATTCAGCGAGCAGAAGAATTTCAAACCTGACTGCGGTTTTGCACAGTCGCACTGGGGCCTCTGTCACGATGCCAAGGCGTGCATATGCTTTTATTCGGCCTTTGCAGGGACGAACGTGCGCTAGGTGCGTTGGAGTTTATTAGAATCCCCGATAGCTGCTTTCGTAAACGGGTAATCATTTTATTATCTCTCACCTTGAGCTCAAGGCTCCAGAGCTGACAACTGCCCATCTGCCACACGTTGTCTGCCACAGGTTGAACATGATGCAAAACTTGGCCCTGAACACCACAATACTGGACCTAACTGCTGCAGGCATGCTATTGGGGATAAGGTCACCATACTGAACTCGTGGCCTTCTCCGAATGACTTGGAGACGGGTCACGATGATGACACTCGCCTCTCAGCAGAGCGGACTAGCGACGCCTGGCCCTGGGGCGGAACCTTCTATCATTCAGTGAGAGCAATCGTCTTGTGGCCAGCATGCGCAGCTCTCATCAGCTTGCACAACACCGCTCCAAGCACATACGACCATACCTACTGGAAAACTCGGGATCCCGTCCGCTCTCCCATAGATAAGCCAGTAAGGGTCGGACTAGTAGTTGGGTGGGTGACCACCAGCGAATCCCTGATGTTGTATGTTTTTGACATTTTTGCTATTTCTGAATTTTCTCTTGGTGTTGGTGGGGATTCAATATGTAGACGTCTGGCTGTGTCTGGGATTTATTATTAGTGCTAATTGTTTGCGGCTTAGTCAGTTATGCAGAGCGTTGCAGTACTATCGCTCAGGGACCTTGCATTATTAGTCGGAAAGCCGCAAACCTGCAGCACGTTACATCGTTGTTGTCGGTCGTCAGCGGGGATCTAAACGGTACATCTTTTTGCTGAGTGCTCAGGCCGTCTGCGTCTGAATCCGTAGCAGCTGCAATCGACAGAACACCATTGATAGAGGAAACGGGAGAGTGAGTAGCCGGGCGACTTTCGAGTGTCTGGAAATCAGTGCACAGAAATTGTTTGGTAGCGCCAATGCAGCAAGACGTAGGTACCTTACCGTGCTAGGTAGCTTGATTAACGCTTCGTGAACATCATGTTCTTGGTCCATGTTGTGGTTAGGCGCAAGCTTTGGGCTTAGTCATTGAACGCGTCGCGACTGCCTCGCCCAAGATCCAGTCTTGCATCACCACCACTTTAGATTAACCACGACACCGTCGATGGTACTTGGGCAGCGTTCTTTTCTTCAATACCCAGCAAACGATGAGACGGGGAAACGGATAGCTGAATTGGTCCCGGAGATCCCGATGTAACCTGGCCGTCTCATCACTACCATGCCTCTCCTTGCGTTCACGCTCAGCGAGGACGCCGTTTCGGCCCTTCGCGACGCTCTCATCTGCCTCAACAAGTTCAGCGATGACGTGTCTTTCGAAGCGCAGAAGGACAAATTCGTCCTGACGGCTCTGAACTCTTCAAAGTCTGCATACGCCTGCTTCACCTTCTCCACCGCCCGTTTCTGCTCCCGGTACGCCTTCGACGGTCGCGATAAGTTCTACTGCACGCTCTACACGCGAGCTCTCATCTCGATATTCCGCAGCCGCGCATCCGGTGATCTGCAGCGCGGCATCGCCAGCGGCGCCGACAGGTCCGACGGTCGGGACGGTGCCATTGACCGCTGCGAGGTGTCGGTCGAGGATGGGCCTGGCGTGCAGGTGAGCCGGTTCGTTGCCAAGCTCATCTTCCGCAACGGCCTGGCGTCAACACATCGGCTGCCCTTTGAGGTGGCTGTGCCCGTGCATGCCAAGTTCAGCCGGGAGGAAGCCGGCAACCACTGGACCATCCCGTCGAGGACGTTGCGACAGCTGATGGAGCACTTTGGGCCTGGTGTGGAGTTGCTGGACATCTGCTCGGATGGCGAGCATGTCAAGTTCACGTGCTTTACCGAGAAGACTGTGAATGGAGACGGCATGTCAGCTCTTTGCTCGCTGCAATGATTGATGCTAACGACTCGCAGAGGTCCTGAAGAAACCGCTTCACACGTCCATTGCCATTGAGATTGACGAGTTCGAAGACATTGAAGTCGAAGACAAGCTCCGAATCGTCATGAACGTCCGCGACTTCCGCGCCATCATCCAGCACGCCGGCATCGCTGGCACCAATCTATCCGCCCGCTACTCGACCCCCGCCCGACCCATCCAGGTGACGTACCCGGGCGACGGCATCGCCTGCGAGTTTCTTCTCATGACGGTGGGCGAGCGCGGCGGCAACCCGGCGCAGAAGACGCGCAAGGGCAGCAAGGCCGTCAACGGAGCCAGGCAACGGCAGCAGCTAGAGCCCACGTCGAGGAGGGCAAGCGCTGCGCCGTCGCAGGCGTCTGAGAGGCAGCCCGACGTAGAGGACCAGGCGCCCCCCAAGGTCAGCAGCGGGATGCCACCTCCGCCTCAACCCTCCATGCCGTCCGGCAGGGCTACTGCGGCGAGAACGTCGGCATTTGACCTGAGGCCTTCGCAGCGACCTCCTCCGACGTCTACGATGCGCTCGGAGGGGCTCTTTGTCGAGGACGATCGGTGGGAGCCTGTCAATGACGACGAGGAGGAAGAAGAGAATGCGAGGTTGGAGTGGGATCATAGTGCTCAGCCTGTAAGTTGCCGCATCACTCCGTCACTGCTCAATGCTTACATCATTACAGGAGAACACTGGCCCGCACATCAACCAAGCTGCCGCCGAGAACAGCAACGATGTGAACCCGACTCCAGCCAGTAGCTACGGCTTTGAGCCAACGCAGAGGTTGTCCGACGTGGAGAGGCTGGGGTTGTTTTACAGAGGGAGCTGAACGAAAAGCACATGACGTGATGCCATTTTTGTTCAATTTTGATCGTGCCCCAGTTGGGCTCATCCGGTGGTAATGTCAACCCAGCTAGTAGCGCACCCAGCGCCGATGCCTGTAATTTGAGACCCTGGGGGAATGAATCGCGACGATGCAATAACATTCCACCGTCCCTTGACGTCGTTGTTCTCAACTTGTGGTCCGCAATTTCCGTGCTCACCCCATCCCCAGGCTAGAACGTCACCCTCTTCTGACATGGCGACAACGTGTTCGCTTCCGATGGCTACCCTGGCCAGTTTGGGAAGGTTGGGCGGAGCCAGCTGGCCGTGATCATCGCGACCCCAGCACAAAAGTGTTCCGTCTTGCTTCAACACGTAAATGCCACCCCAGCTCGCTCCAACGTCTTTCCACCCGGGAACGGATGACGGGGCCGACGATCGAGTATTCCACTTGTCGGAGCCCAACACCGCAAGCCGTCCTGTCTCGTTGTCTCCAAAGAGACAAGTGAACTCCCGCCCGCAGACGGCCCGGGTAACCTTGAAATCGAGACCTTCAATCCTTCTCGGCTGGTGAAGCACGCCTTCGGGGTTTCCCGTCTGACCTTTCCGTCCGTTCCCCCAGCCATAAGCATCGCCATTGCTCAGAACAACTACGACGTGGCCCATGCAAGCCGCGAGATCTACAATCTCGGTTCCCGCGGGCGGAAACTCCTTGAATAACGTCCCTGATGGTGATCGAACCAGCAGTTCTCCTTGCCCTAGCTCTCCCTTTGCGCCGGACCCGAAACTCCAGAGCTGCGTCACCTTACCGTCTGCATCTCTCCTGGCGACGAATGAGGCTTCCCAGGTTGCTGTCACGAGAGCCACGTCCCTCACGCCTGTCGAAGGGCCATCTTTGCTAAGACGCACTGGCTGGAAGACGGGTTCTGTGGCTGTAGCCTCGGCTGTGAGACCGCAAGCGCCTGGCGTGGGATCCCCGCTCCAGTAAAGGTGGCCGTCTCCTGTGAGGAGCAAAGTGTGATTTCCGCCAGCAGCGATGCGGGTGATGGGAGATGAAGGCTGATCAGGATGGAACAAGACCTGCTTGGGCACCGAGACGTCTTCCTTGTGGGCAAGGCCGAGCTGACCAGAGCCGTTGGAGCCGATGGCGAAGAGGACGGACATTGTCCCTTGGATACTGGAGGTCGTTTTTCTTTTGGTCAGCAGAACGGGCTTTCCCTCATGCCACTGCTGGTGACATGTACCGGGGGAGGTTTCGTCATGCTGGTAAACGGGGTTCGACATCTGGTAGGCGAATATCAGCAAAACGTCGGAAACAGCATATGCATCAAACAAGCTCACGGCTGAAGGTTCTGCCATTCCCGTCCCACCCTGGCTGCCCCCGCTGCCCCACACAACCGCCAACCACAAAAGTCGCGATGAACGACAGCTCTTGGGAGAATTTTCCTCTTTCGCAAACCAGCTCCAGCGCCTTCTGCAACAACCACTCGAGCCGCTTCGTTGTGACTCACCACGACGCGCCGGCAGGTGGAGAAGGACCAGCTTTTCGCCGTCTGATTTCTCTTCAGGATGTGAGATCTTGCCTGTCTGCAGACTCCTCCCAGTCCTGATCAGAAATTCGTTCGTCCCCGCCCGAAAGAAATCGCCCTTTGACATGGCGTCCGCCGATTCCGCTGCTGCATCCAGCGCCCAGTCTCGTCCCGCCGGGATGGAGAGCTTCGTCGTCGGCCTGATTGGCATGGGCGACATGGGCAAGATGTACGCGCAGAGACTTTCTGCTGCTGGCTGGAAGTGAGTTTCTCTCCAGGCTTGCAAGAGGTCTTCTGCGCCGCACGCGAATTGGTACGTATTTTGTCTTCTTCTGTATTCTATCCACGAACATCGCCATCACACGCCCTCCCCCCCTCTGTTGATGATGACAAGAGCGCATTTGGCTAGAGTATCGCCCAAGGGGCGCCTGGATCAGCCTTTCTGGCCCCAGGCACACCTAGGCTTTCCATGATGATACACCTAGCTACCTTAACAAACATTTGTCTGAAACATCACACCTTCCAAGACTTTTTTTCTGCAAACCGCTCAGAAGAAGACGAGTCGCTAATTGGAATACAGATTCATAAACTTTGCTTCGCTTCGCTGAATGCGCACACACCGCTTCTGCTACCCATCATCGGATCACTACTGACAGCGGGGGATAGCATACTGGCTTGTGACAGAGATGACAAGTACGAGGCGTTGAGGGACGAGTTTGCTGGAAAAGTACGGTGCTCCCGTTTGCTTTCCCTCGGTCCCAGCCCCAGCCATTCAGTTGCTGAGATGCTTCATAGAAGAATATACAAATCTGCCGCAATGGTCACTTCGTCTCCCGCGCCAGTGACTACATCATATACAGTGTGGAAGCCGCAACCATTGATCGTGTAATCGCTCAGTATGCGCCTTGTACGCTGCCCTTGTGTCCTGATGATCTCTCCAGCGAGTTCTAACATGACGTGCAGCCACCAAACTTGGTGCTATTGTTGGCGGCCAGACCTCCTGCAAGGACCCAGAGATCCAAGCGTTCGAGCGGCACCTCCCAGCCGATGTGGACATTGTGTCGTGCCACTCTCTGCACGGCCCCGGTGTCGACCCCCTCAACCAGCCGCTCGTCATCATCCCCCATCGCGCCTCCGCCGAATCGATCGCCAAGGTCGAGACGGTCCTCTCCGTTCTCCGCTCCAAGCATGTCCACCTCTCGGCCAAGGAACATGACCGCATCACGGCCGACACACAAGCCGTAACGCACGCAGCCTTCCTCTCCATGGGCAAGGCCTGGCACGCCAACACGCAGTTCCCGTGGGCCCTCTCCCGCTACGTGGGCGGCGTCGAGAACGTCAAGATCAACATTATGCTGCGCATCTACTCGCAAAAGTGGCACGTCTACGCCGGCCTCGCCATCCTCAACCCCGAGGCGCGCAAGCAAATCTCCCAGTACGCCCGCTCCGTGACGGACCTCTACAAGCTCATGCTCGAGGGCGACGCCGCGGCCTTGCGCGCCCGCGTTTTCGCGGCCAAGGAGCGCGTCTTTGGCAGCGACGGCGCGCCGCTCTGGGGCGGCCAGCCGCTGCTCGACCCGGGCGTGCTCGAGGGCTTCTCGAA